GCTAATAAGGCTTTAAAAGTATTACTTATTAGTTTATTCTTATTACTTTTATTATTCTCTTTTTCTTTAAATTCGGTAATATACTATATATAAGTATTACTAAAGTATTTATTAAAGTTATAGGTATTTCGGGATCTAAATTAATAAATATTTCTATTCTTAAATCAAGTCTTCTTAGTCTTTTATTTCTCTAGTATATATTTCTATAAGTAGTATTTAGATCTCTTATATATAAAATATAATTTCGGAGTATAATTATTATAGTTACGGGACTTAAAGTAATTATTACGGGTTCTAAAGTTATAACTAGGTCTATATTAATAATTTCCGAATAGATAGTAATTTAGAGAATTTTAAGAATAGTATTATTAATTAGTAAAGAGAATCTCGGTATTAATCTATTATTTCTTCTTATAAATAGTAATAGATAATTAGAGCTTATTAATAAGTTAGCTAAGATTAGGAAAAGAATCCGAAACTATATATTAATATACTAGTATATCTTAATAAGAAGTAATAATCTTATTATATAGAAATTTGGTATTTTATAGAATAAGTACTAGTTTATATTATAATTTATATAAGTTATTAATTAGTAACTAGATAAGCTTAAATATTGTTTTTTAAAGTATTAAGCTATTATAATTACTATTATAATAGTATTTTATTTATCTAAGTTTTAATATTAGAAACTAAGGACTTTAAAGAAGCTATAAATATTTATATAGGCCTTTTTATATATATATTAAGAGAACTAGTTATTATAAAAGTAATCTTATACTAGTTCTTTTAATATAGTAAGAAAAGCTCTTACTAATACCTCTTATAAAAGCTTTATATATTAGTAGATATTAAGGAAAATAGCAAGTTTTTAGTCGAAACTACTATTAGTTCTATTATATTTCTATATCTTAATATATATCTTTACTATTTTTCTAATTAGCTTTATAATAAGAGAGCTAGCTAAAGGGCTATTTAAAGATAGTAAAAGTAATAGAAGTAGTAGAAATCCGTTACTATTAGCTTTTTATAGTCTAGTACTAGTAAGAGTAATTATAGGTAATAAAGAAATATAAGTAATAATTAATTTAGTTTATTAATTTCTTATAATACTATTATTAAGAAATATATATAATAAAGTAATAGGACCTATATTAAGGTCTAGTCTAATAGTAATAATATTAGCTATAGTCTAGATATATTACTTTTCTTTCTAAATAGTATTAACTAAGAACTATATAATAGTAAGTCTCTTATTATTTTATTTAATATAAATATTATTATATTATAAAGTAGCTTATAATTTATATAGTATATATTAATCTAGATAATTAAATATTTTAAGATTAAAATTACTAAAATCCTCCTTAAATAATTCCCAGAGATTATTATTAGTTAACTTCTTTATCTTATACTAGAATGGTCTAGTATTAAGGTAGTTTAGGACTTCCTTATTACTATAGGTAATTAGGTTAATACTGCTTTTCTACTTCTTTACCTATATGTATTTATCCTATAGTTCTACTATACTAAACTCCTAGGGTCAAGCCCTTCTTAATATATATGTAATTCGTAATAAGAGAGGTTTAAAGATAAGGTAGTTTGTAGTAAGTTTATAGAAAGGGTTCGGTAGTAAAGGTATCCAGATATCTGGTTTAGATATTAGATATCTAGTTCAGATATCAGATATCTGGTTCAGATACCAGATGCCCCAGATATCTAGGAATATTAAGGGTATTAAAGTAAATATTTTGCCCTTAAATATTTCGTCTATAACGAGAAATTTAGGAAATAAAATATTATGATTCCGGGAAGGTCTGAAGCTCAAAGGACTTAATTTAATAGTAAAATCAAAGTAGTAGTTAAAGAGTTTCAAGGGCATATATAAAGTATATATTCCGGAGAGAGTATCCTATAAATATGGGTATTATATAAGTAGAAAAGATGGATTCCAAGAAGATAGTCTTGGGGCTAAAAGAAGTTAGCTTTAAAGAATAATAGATAATTAAATAGATAGATAGTTAAATAGCTAATTATTTATTAATTAATAAGAACTAGAGTCTTCTCTCTTAGGCTACCGGATACTTTATAGAGTTAATAAGTAATTTCTCCTTTTAATAGAATAATTATTAGTTCTTGGCAAGAGCTAGCTATTTTCTCTCTTAGGCTACCGGATACTTTATAGAGTTAATAGGTAATTCCCTCCTTTAATATAGACTAGTTTAATTTTGCTATAGGCTACCGGATACTTCTTTAGTTCAAAAGATTCTATTCTCTAATCTATATATATAAACTAATTAGTATTAGTTTACTAGTAATATATAGTACTATTATATAATTATAGAATGCTATTTATATAAGGTTAGTAAAGTTATTATTATTCAGAAGTAGGGATTATAGTATTATAGTATTAATATATAATCTCTAAATCTGCTAAGCCTAAAGGGATCTAGTTTACTAGTCAAATTACTAATGGAATGCGAGGTTATATAACCATATCCTGTATCCCATGTCCCATTACTCATGTCCCGTATCCCGTATCCCGTAACTACATATGTAACTCCCAAAGGAATAGCTATACTAATACTATTTTAAAGAATATTAAGATTAATTAAAGATTATTGAAATATTTTCGAATATATCGATTAAAAATAAGTAGATTTATAATTGAAAGGTTCTTAATTAGAGCTATAGTTATTGAGATATTTATATATAAAGTAAGAGAAAAAGTAAGTAACTTGAGGAAAATTACTTATTTATATATAAATTCTCTAGAATTTAGAAGATTCTTTAATACGCTTCTAATTAGATACAATCCCCTAATATTAAAGTATTTATTTATGAGAGGACTTATTTTTAGCTATTTTATTTATAATAATAAGATTTATAAGGTAGCGAGAAATTACTAGAAAATCGAATAGGTTCTAGTACTTTCGGCTCGCGCCGCTTCGCTTACCAAGTGGCGCAATACCCAATTTAGTAAGGAGGCCTTAATGGATACCGGATATTGGCTAGCCTAAACCTTATTTCAGCCTCATTTCGCTTTCGAACCTCCGAGCGCACGTGCACGGTTACGTGACTAAATAATTAAGTAGATTTTGACTTGATTTAATTCAATTTAGAGGCTATAATTAAATCAAACTAAATCATTTGACACACTGCGAGTCCAATAGCCCCAATCACCGACATCAGCTTCTATTCCTGGCCGCAAACTACCAAACCTGGAAATCAGATCACATAGCAAGGAAAACTCTCAGTTCAATTTCTAGATCACGGCCTACCTATCAAAACCGAGACCGCTGCCGTTGAAGGATCGAAGAAAAGGAGGTCCAGCAAGAGCTTGCACGAAGAATGATCGAGGAGACCTCCGAAACTTTCAAGAGACCTAACAATTGTATGTCGCACTTGGCGTCTCCTGGATTTTTGGGACCTTCTTGCTGATTTGTAATTTTCAGATATACCGACCTTTGTGCGAAATGTAGAGTTGGCTCTCAGGCTTCCAAGACAGCCGCAAATGCAAAAAGAAGCAATGTCTTGTGAGTCTCGTTTGTGTTTGTGTGCGCTCCTCTTAGGGCTTAACTAATGATGTAGTAGTTCTCGGGATCTTAAAGGATCGTTATTCTCCGACGAGAAAGGAGTTATGGCTGAGGTTTGGTTGAAGCTGCACTTGAATCCAAAATGTCGGATCGGTCCTTGTGACAATGTGTGTTCTTTAGAAGGGGGTATTTTTGAGATGGCAGTTGAACTCTAATCTCACTATCTTCGTCACTGCTACCTCATCGAGCTTTACCAAGGGTCCCTTATCGTCGTATATCGTGAACAACATTAGTCTTCCTCTTCATCTCCCCGACTTACGCATCGGGACTATCTCCCTTGTGTACAAAACGCCTACGACCCATGGGACTAGCCACATAACCAAAGAGCTTCAGTACTCCAAGAGCGCTTTCTGTCTCCAAGGTTCCTGATATACAGCGCGGGTACGCTATCTTGGTAATACCAAACCGAAGCACCACCGCACGGCATCGGCTCAGCACGTCTACTAGATTTATTCCTCAAGATCGCGGGCACACCAGCCAATTCTCAGGAGGCGTGGCAATGGAAAACAAAGGTTCAGAACAACAGTTCCGAGACCCTGAAAGCCATTTGGACCTAAGTCTCGCTGGATTACTATCGCCGCGTTCTTACCTATTGCCGCGACAGACTGCTGACACTTTCCGGTCTTGCCAGGAAATTTCGCGATTTGACAGGTGACTTGTATCTCGCCGGTCTTTGGAAGGAAACGCTTTGTTTGGGGCTGATGTGGCATCGTCCTTATCCGCTTTGATATCGACCGTCCATATTCATAGCCCCGACCTGGTCATGGCTGATTTTCCGACTCCCAAGGGCCAATCTACTGCGTACACAGCATCTCAATGGAACATCCTTGCCCGCTTGTAGAGATTCTTGAGGTTGGGACAGTTACGGTGCGGCCGGATAAGACAGGGGCTGTTTCGAGTGGGAAAATCACGCTCTGTGGTCACATAAAACAAGCTCGACGGAAAGGCACTAACGAGCTTTGGGGAGCAGTTGGTGAGCAACGAGTCGGTTTTGCTCTGTTGGATTTTCAACCGGAGCTTGTGGAGGCTGCCGATGGCTCATTGTGGTACTTGCGGATTATTGAATATAAAGGCTTGCTCCTAAAGCCTTCTGGAAAAAATTATCACGTATTGGAGTATTCGTTTTCGATTTGGATGGAGATGCGGGGATGCCAGGGAAACATGGTTCAAAGATAGCGAACTGCTGACCTTGACGCTTGTATAGAGTCTATTTTTGAGATAGTCCGTCGCAAACCCTTTGCACCAAGCATGGTTCAATGCTCAAATTGTAACAGAAGTCGATTTCTTGTACAGAAGACAAATCCTAAATGCAGTTTCCTCGGGTTGGGACAATTGTCGCATTCAACTGTGACTAAAACTGTTGAATTCTGCGGCCATCGCATCTGGCCATTGCATTTGGCTGTGATCCAAGACCTTACCTTACCTCCCTCACTCCCTTGCCCGCCTCACACCCCGTACTTTCCAATTTCCCCCCAATCCACTTCAAACCTAATTAATGCCAAGCCCCAGCCTCTCCCATATTCCTCCCCTCAAACCCCTCAAGATGATACAACGGTTCCAAACTCGCCTTCCCCTGAAACAGAACATGCCGTTTCACAGCCCACGGCAGCCAGGTGAAAGAATAATACGCTGCGTGTCGACGGGTCGGGACGCCGAAGATGTAATCTAGTTCTTCGAGAGTGCGTTGCTTAGTCTCGGGGAGGAAGAAAAAGATAATGACGAATGCTAGCATATTCAAACCCGCGTAGAAACCGAATGCTCCACTGGGAGTGATCCCGGCCAGCAAAGAAGGGAAAGTCAGGCCTAGGATACTGGAGAGCGCGTTGTTGACGAAGATGCATGACGCGGCGCCGATTTCGCGGTGCGAGAGAGGGAAGCATTCTGCTGCGTAGACGTTCGGGACGGGACCAATACCTGAAATTTGTTTTGTTAGTGAGTAATCTTAAACGGGCTCGGAAAAGGGGTAAATTAAGCGATTTTCCTACCGGGTGAGTAAAACGCCGTAAAAAGATAAACAAAGAAAGCAATAAGTGGCAATCTCGCCGCCGATTCTTCTGGTAGCAGAAAACAGCATCCTCCAGCAACCAAGCACCATGCCATATTCGGGAAAGTGAAAAGGAGGAGATTACGGCGGCCAAAGGTATCAATTGTCCATATAGCTGGGAAAGCAAAGACGAAATTCACGAGTCCGAAGCCGAAGGATGCGAGGAGGGTGTGTTTGCTGTCATATCCCGCTTGTGCGAAGATGGTCGAGGAGTAGAAAGCCATGATGTTGATTCCGGAGAACTGCTGGGCGGTCATCACGATAGCGCCGCCTATTGTGGCGCGCCGGATTCGCGGGACGGTGAAGAGTTCGGTGAAGCGGGTGAGGAAGGAAGAGCCGCCGAAGACTTCTTCTTCGACGATGAATTGGTTGTATGCGTAATACTGGATATTGTTTAGTTGATAGATTATGGGGAGATAGGGATTGGAACATACTAGGTCTCGTGCTGCCATGACTTCGGTGTTACGGAGACGGCAGAAGGACTCGAATGACTCCTTGATGCGGTACTTCTTCAGAAGCCAACGTGGAGACTCTAATGTTTATTGGAATCATTGAATTTGAGATGTTGGTGGTTGAGGGGCGACGAACCTGGGCAGTACCAGACGAGGATCAGGATAGGTATGGCAGGAGCAAAAGCAGCACCGAGCTGAAACCTCCACGCCAACCTCCCAATATCATGAAAAATTAGATTCGAGCAAAACCCAACCAAAATCCCGAACGCAACCCAGAGTTGGAAACTCATAACAAGTCCGCCTCTTATCGTAGCGGGCACCACCTCAGAAGTCATGATCGGAATAGTAGTGATCTTGATTCCCAGCCCGATCCCCATGATGAGACGTGTAAGTAGTAGGCCCCACCAATTCTGCGTGAACGCTTGGGCGAGAACAGGAAAGACGCAGAAAAGGCCCGTGAAGAATATGACGCCGCGGCGGCCCATCATGTTGTTCAGTGGATCGGCAGCCCAGGCTGCAAAGAGCCCGGAGATCGTGGGTGCTGCATTAATGAAACCCACTAGCCATGTATTATGCGCAATGCCAAACTCCTCGGGAAAGGAAAGATTGGCCCCGTTGGCACCGGTGTTGTCCCATCCTTGGACGGCAGAGCCGAGTGAGCAGAGACCGATAGTGAAGTATAGAGTGCGAGGAAGATGCCACTTATGAGTTACCTCGCGTCGGAGATGTCTCTTGTCTTCTTCGTCAAGTTCGTCGATGCTTTCGAAACTATCTGGATTCTGTGCCACGAGTGCCCCCTTTTCGAAGATGGAGAGTTTGTCGGTGAGTTCGTAGCTGGCGCAGAAGGAAGCTACACGTGCAAGGAGGTCCTGTTTTGAGATTCCGGCTAGGGGGTTGCAGATTCTGGGAATAATCAGTATGTGGAATAATTTGGAAGAAGGGGTGATGTGGGCGTTACTTTGCATTAACGTTCTGCTGAAAGTCAACATTGATGCGGTCTTTGAGATCCTCGACATGCTCGAGGAGTGTCGTGTCCTTTTTCAAGGTAAGTTCTGAAGAAGGGTGTGCCATGATTGGCGTCTGTCTGCTACAGATCAGGAGAAGTAACTAGCAGTGTAGACTGAGCTTATATATCTGTGAAAATGAATCGGTAATTTAATTGTAAGCTGGCAATAACAGAAATGAGGTGATTTAATAGTTTCTTGAAAGCCGGGGAACCCCTCATTGTCTCGGATACGTCTCCGAATCGCAGCATAAGACTTGGAACCGTTGTTGTGGAGAAGGCTGCCACTTCAGTTGGGATCTCCACACCCCAGAAAGACCCCCGGGTTCCCCAGGATTCCCCCGCTATGCCCTGTGTGCGTGGGCTACAACAGTGAATTTAGGTATTCCAAATTTAGTAAGAACATTCTAATAGCATGTCTGTCCTGTACAGGTGGTCCATTAGCTCGCCAAGGATAGGAGAGTTGGCGGGTTCCGCACCACATTGACCTGTGTAGTGCACTCGGATAGGTTCAGCCACTCGGGAATGCCAAGGAACTTTATTCGGAATATTGCGTGGTGTCCTGTGTGCAGCAAGATTTCGGCCTTGTTGACCTGCACAGTGAGCAGTCCACCCTCGACATGCTCAGCCACTCGGCCAAGGATGGGGGTTGGAGGCCCTGAACAGGTCACTACACGATGCCCTGTGTGCAACACAGTCAGGTGCGCTAGTACGCTGTACCTGCTGTTCGGACTAAGTTGTGGGGAGTCAGTCGCCTGTTGGCATCCTATCACAATAAAGGTGGGTACGGGGCCAAGTCCGTCTTCGGATAATGATCACCACCACCCCCATTACCCCTCTCTGCCCTGTGTGTGGCATTTTTAACACCTGTGCAGGCAAAGAGCACTGATCATGTGATAAATAATTATTGACAACTCTTATAAAAGTCTTGACCATGGAAATATAATTAGAAAATGAATTGACTCCACCCAAAATCCATTTATTGTTTCCTGCAAGAAAGTAAACCAACAAGATGGGGAGCGTCGGAACGATTACCTGGCTCGAGAAGCTGGAGGAGCAGCGTATGCCTAGTCTCCTATTTAAGTTTTTCCCCAGAAGAAACGCAATGTGAGTTCTAACTTTTGAAGTGAACGTCGATGTCGACTCTATGGATCCGACATTCGCGAAGAGTCTCCCTTTCAAACCACACAACCAAACAAGCAACCAACTCCTCGTCAACGAGCAGATGTCCATTCCCGAAAACCGCGAAATGTTCCTGCAAGCCGTGAGGGAATACAAAGACAAGGGGTGGGAAGCAGTCCTGGACAGAATCGTATGCTCTCCGCACACCCATCCCAGCTTTTCTCCCCATCGGATCAAAACCTCGTGAGCCAAGCTTACACAAAGGCCTCACAGAGCGTTCTCCTTTGCGCCCAAAACATCGATAACATCCAGGGACGGGTCCTTCTCCAAACCTCGCCTTTCCACGCATATGATATAGAGAAAGTGGTTGCACATGCTCGCAGCTACGCTCGTGAGTTCGAGCAGGTCGGCATTTCCAAAGATCGGTTCTGCATCAAGATCCCATGCACTGGACCCGCCATGAACGCGGGACCTATTCTTCTCAAAGATGGCATTCGGACACTGGGAACTTCTCTATTCGGTTTGCCGCAGGCTATCGCAGCTAGCCAGGCTGGATGTCTTTACATCAGTCCTTACTACAATGGTCCGTTTCAACATGATCGGAGTTTTTTTGAATGACATATGCTGATGGGAGATTGTATGTAGAAGTCCGAGCACATGCTGATTTGAATTTGTGGCCCAATGTCGAGGATCCTGCAACACAGCACACCATGTCCGCGCGAATGGTGCAGATTCTCGAGACGTATAAGCGTCTTTACAAGGAGACTGGAAAGGAACAGCCAATGGTGAAGTCGGCCAGGTATCTTGTTCCTCCTCAAGCAATATATGTCGGGAAACTGACTTGGTGTGACTAGTTTCATATCCCCAAAGGAAGCAATGGCAGCCGGAGAAATGGGTTGCCACCACGCCACCATCTCAGCGGATGTTCTCACACAACTCAGCAAGCTCTCTTACGACGGCAGCAAGCAACCAGGAGAAGGTATACCGAAGCCCATGCACCCATATCTCAACGCAGGCCCAACTCCGAGCCGTCTTGCAAAATTGTCGAAGACCGATCCGTTGGCAGCAGCCGACTGGGATGGAAAACTTGCAAGTACCGGCATCGACTACCTGGCAAATAATGGAGCGGAATTGCAGAAGGCTATCGAGGCCGATCCGATCACGAAGACGCGTTTGTATGAGGCTCTTGAGCTGTTTAAGGGTGGAGAGCTCAGGAGCAAGGCTGCGATTGAGGGGGCGATGGAGTTGGTATAATGTACCTGGACCGTAATTTTGGCTCTCGTTCCTGTATGTGGATCAGATAGATGGAATGCACAGGATATAGTATCTCGCGGTTCGCAGTTGTTGTCAAATGATGTCCGAATCTCTGTGCCTAAAGCATGTATCCAAGATTGGGCTCATCATGTGTTGGCACAATATAATGTCTCATTTGTGGCGGCGAAATAATAAGATCGCGCAACGTGTCTCGATGCATGTTCAAATCTGCAAAGCTACTCGAGATTGGTGGGGCATCCATGTTCGATACCAGAGATAGATCGTATCCACCATCGTCCAAGAAGGAGAACGGATCCACGCCTGGCAGCATTGTCTGCTGTGTTGGACTTCCATTTGCGTCCATCAAGCTACCTGGTATTCCCATTAAGTGATTCATGTCGGGGTGAAATGGTTGGGGTCCAGAGTGAGGATGGATAGGAATCTGTTCTGGCAAATTGAAACCCATGTTCGTGGAAGTACTTGGAGCTGCTTGTGGAAAGGAAAACGACCGTGGTGAATCTCTCCGCTCCTCCATCTGCGGTCTTTCTGCACTATGGCCATCACCATCGTGGTCGTCTCCCGTCCCATTGTCGCCAAATCCTCCAGGAAATGTCCCAAAAACTTCTTGATCAACCTTCAACATTGCTAGCACAGCATCCCCGACTGGCTTGACTTGGCTTGAGCCCATGCCAGATCCGTATTGCTCACGCCAGCTGTTGACCTCGACAATGAGTTGGATGTTCTCAGCAAGAATGGCTTGTACCTCACTGGCAGCAGCGAGACACGTAGCACGCTGTGCCCTGAGATGCTGTATACCTTCGTGGACAATGAGGGACTTGGACAGGCGACGAACCGGCGCGAGCGCTGGGATCAGCCGTGCGAGGTCCTGTCAGATTAATTGGAATCTGAAGTTAGAATGGTGAGGGGGTTGAGATAGGGAAATGATGCTCACGAGGAAGCTTTCATTCAGGGCTTCTCGTCGTTGTTTCTCAATCACACGATGGGAAGCTCTCTCGTCTGTAGTGAAGGCTCGAATCCTCTTCTTGCCTCTTCGTTTGGTGTTGCCCATGTAGGCAGAAGGGCTGCCAGATACGCTTTCTGATGCTGGGGGCATTGTTGTTGACTGAAAACTGATGTATAGAAACTTCTTGGCGTAGACGTAGTCCCAACACCACGGGCGTGAATAGGTTCTAGAGTGTTGGGGAAAGACAGGAGATGGCCGTGGGCATGAAAAATGGCATGCTTGGCTTCACTCGAGTAGGAGTAGTGCATGGCAGCATGAGTGGGGAAGTGCATTAGTTCTACCCCGCAGTCGCCGACGAAGCCCGCAACTCTAGCCGAGATGAGCTTACCAGAGAGGCCCCTCTGATTTCTCTACCCAAGTCTTCCGTATAGAACAGGGAGCCACAATACCAGGTGTTGGCTCGACACACCTTTGTATGTATTTCACCAATGCGACACGATTGTAATGGAAGGTTCAAGTATATCACGTGACCTATCAAATTGTATTTTTTGGGTCAAACTGAGCTATCTTTGATCTAGAGAGTGCAGTTGAACCGGCAGCTCTAAATATTGTCTCTTCCATACTGTGAGCTTCTTTCACGTGTACCGTAGCTTTCTTATATCCCTGTGGCACCCTGTCACGTGCCTTCGGCGCGCGACACTATATAGCTCTTTGCTCTATATTACATGATTAAAGCAAGTGAGGATATAGGCTTCGTTTTTTGTCCTGGCAACGACGTGCTATAGGCATATTAGACCTGAGAAACAGTGGAAGCAGTGAATATAGAAGTAAAAGGCGGTGGGCTGAAGGTAATTTGACTAGGAGACGCGACCGCGCGCAGTACTAATTAACCTTACATAACCTCTTACTAGTACGCATCAAAAGCCTTTTCCCCTACGATTTGGCCGAACGCTATCTGACATCAACAAAAGCCTCAAAAGGGGCTCTCAAAGCTTTTATTGCCCCTAACGCAAGCCCTATCGAAACCCCTCTCGAAGCCCAGAAGGCTTTTGTCTGGCCGAACGGGCCCTGCGCCCTGAACCACGTGAGATCGGCACGCAGGTGCTGCGGGGTCACGTGTCATGCAACACCTTCTTAAGCGTCTACGATTGGCCATTATGAGAATAATATTTCCAAGGATGTGTTGGTACCAAACAGATAAGAGTGTCCTGTGGTATCTTTAGGGATTTCCTGGTAATTTTGTAACAGGTGGTGAGATGTAACACAGGACGAGAAAACATGGCGCCTAGGAACCGCATATTTCTTTTCACCTTAATCCCGCCACTGCAGTTAGTGGTATCGTTAATAGAGAGGAACTAGTCATGTGCGGGTCAAATATCTCTTGGGCCTGCTTCGGGGGTTGCCCTCCTTAGACGTGGGCACACGCCACCCTATTCGAGTGTTCCGTTTCAACACCGGTTCTTTATTCGAGCCCGGGTCATTCTCGGTGGTACCAAATCTACATACGTTGGGCTCTAGGCACGGTAATATGTATTGCCCAGGCCCGCTCATTACGCTGGTCTACATCGTCTGATAATGAATCGTCTAGTCAATCCTAAACACTGTGCTTTCGTAGTCTGTCTTCCGAATCTCTCCACTCATGATACCAACAACAAAGCAAGACCCGAGCAATCGCCACGTACCACCACACTTGCGGAGCACAAGGGGAACAGAAAGTCCATGAAGCTGCACAATCGCGTCTCCCGGCTCCGTAGCTTCATCGCCAAAACCCAGATACCCTTTCCTAGTTCTGAAGAACGCCAACGATGGGTACCTTTGCCGCACCATTGCTATAACCATCGGCGCTCGATAAAGTGGGCTTACAAAGGTCCCTCCTTTAAGTACTTGCAGGAAAGGAGGTCCCATGAGCGCGGAATGTTCTGCAGCCGGCCGATCCTTCTTTCCCATGAAAAGCAAATCCAATGCAATACTTGTGTTTACCCCTCCAGGGTATTCCACTTCGACAGCGTCCGGGTACGCCATTCTGGCAATAGCCATGAACCACGCCAGGAATTGAGGGGAATTCAATGCGAAGTCGGTAAAGTCGTCTTCTGATATCTCGACATCCGGTGGTAGCAGCGGAGGAACGATCTCGGCGACATGGCCAACGATCTTGCCCGTTACAACGACACGGTTCATGTTGTTCTCTAACGAAATGGATGGCTTAAAGGCTTGGCTGTGCTCAGACACATCCGGGCAAATGGCGAGATGGTGGTCTCCAGGAACTGAAAAGTCGGGCACCCACGAAGGTATTGTGACTTCATTCCGTGCGGACCCGCAATGGGCGAGAATGTTGAGATCGCCGGCTTCTTGGAGGATGTGGATGGTAGTTTTCTTGAATACCTCGGAGACCGGCAAGGCGTAGTCGATGGGGATCGGGCTTTTCTCCCCTCGCACGTCCTCGTAGATGCCTAAGAATGCGTATACCTTGTCCCGGGGTTCCGATGCCTTAAATCTCCGGCCTGTTACCAGAAGATCAAGCAAAGTCATCTTGGCATCCCCAAGCCTAGATTTAGCCAGCTCCCCCAAGACGTCAAGGGTCTTGTTATAGAGCGACGGTATGGCGGCTTGCCTGTACATGCCCATGGCCCATAACATACAATAATGGACAAACTTCATGTCCTCGAAAGACACTCGAGAGGGGCCGACCCATAATTCCATCGTGGCACGCGGTGTGCTTGCCTCTTGGAGAATCCACGACCGTGACCACCACTCGTTCGACCCCAGACATTTGATCGTGTCAAGTACATTTTCGGGGATTACGGTCGGCGAGGAACCATTGAAATGGCACCTCATGCTCTCTGCGCAACGAGCGTACCGACGATAGGCTTCGGTTGCAAGGTAAGGATAGTCATGGCAGGTACACCCTGTCCCCAGCCAGCGGACAATTCGCTTGGCTTCTTTGTATATATCCCGCATGATGGCCACTTGTGCATTGCGCTCTCTCACGTTCTCTTGGTTTATACATAAGGCGTCTATCCACAAGTACCCAATGGGAGCATGGGAGCTAGAATCCGTAAGCTAGGTGGAAAGGATCAGCTGGGTCCTTTGCTTAAACACAGCCCAACTTCTCCTCACAACCCACCGCTCCGGACTTGCCTTTTTGATGCTGTCTACCAATGTATGCATTGATTTCCCCAGCATTCCTTTGGGCCATGATGTACGAGAAGTCCCTTCCTTTCGGCTAGGCTCAGGCCAGGGGCTCGGGTCGGATAAATATTGCAATGCATCATTCATGTTGTACGCCATACCAGGGCCCAGCTGATCCCCCGTTGAATGAGGAGCCACCATTTCCCAGAGCATGTCGGGGGGGTAGAAATACGACCTCTTGCCGCGTTTTTTCTGCCGCCACGACGATGCAGAGCCGCTGGGATAGGAGTTCATATCGTCTCGCGCGTGACGCAAAAACCGGGCCAAGTTTAGTCGTACGGTTTTGGAGAGCCCGTTCAAACTGATTTCCTTCTCGTTGTCCTCGGCCCCCCACGTGTAGGAAAGTGCCGTAAAAGGGGGACAGTCTCTGAGCTTGTAGGTTTCTATCTCGCATTGGATGGGCGCATAAAGAGGAGTCGAGTTTGAATCTGGTCCGCCGCCCAGCGGGAATTCTTTGGCGTTGGGTGCCTTCTGGACGCGGAGAAGGCGTATTTCGCCTGGTTGAAGGGCATCCTCCTGGTACTCGAATCGTGCCATGTGGCCTCGGAATCGTCACGGGTACCTAGTTGAGGAGACTTGATTCCGTCTTGGTACAGTAGCTTTCACCGGCCGTTGGTGGGGTGAGAATTGGATGAGTTCCTCCACGTATGGCGTGCTGAAGAGAATCAGTCAAATTTTCCGTGGTGTAGTTACGAGTTACGAGCCTGGTGGCGTAAGTCGGCGTTTTTAGCGATGTTTTCAGGCCTCCGCACAGCGAAGTCGTTAACTTCACTTCGCGATAATTAAATAACTATAAACCGGATTTCATCAAAACTCGATCGCATTAAGGAAAAGAAGATAGATTGAGTTTCAAGATCTTATTTAAAGTTTTTATGATATAAATTAAAATTGTTGAAATTCTCTTCAGGGCCCTCTTTAGCGAAATACGCTAAAAACACAGACTCATGCCAGCAGCCTCGTTAGCTGGGCTCCGGACCTTGCCCCCCAAAATGGCGGGGTGCAGACATCCTTCAACAAATCAGACTTTTCAACTTCCACTCTCCTGGTAAACGGACCCCAGCTAATCGCCGCAAAACGCGAACACGCGTGTATTGACCAAAAGAGGTTAGACTACCAGAGCTGCAGACCTGCTTCACGTGATAAGACTATCATTTACCATATGCTACTCGAACTCCAGTACTCCACAGCAACTTCATTATTGCGTAATGCAACAAATCACCGAATACCTACCCTTGTTGTCTTAAGTAAGATAGAAAGGCCAAAAAGTTAAACGAATGTCTTTATTTTATTTAAGTTCAAAATAATTCAAATGTTGCACTACCCCCTTCCCTTTCAGCTGCTTCCTAACAATCCCACCCGTTATGTTCGTCATAATATGGCACTAGGCTTTGGTCGTGGTAGAGATGGCTTTCGCAGTAGATTTGGAAGGTTTCGGGGTCGAGGGCTTGGTCGTGGCTGTAGACGTGACGCTAAGTGATATGGCGGCTGTGGTAGCTACCACTGGCCCTTGAACAATATACTGCTTTGCCTTGCTGAGGCTGGCTAGGGTGGCATTGCTGAGATGCAAAGTGTCTTGGGCAATCTGTTTGGGGGTGAGAGCGAGCCACTGTCCCAGGGCAATATCTAAAATGCATCATCAGCATTGCATCAATTGTTCAGATAAATAAGGTCCGGATTACCAGAAAAGTGGTCTGCCTGAAGTACCTCAACAAACACCACATCTTCAGTTCCAACATTCTCCACGTAGTGCGTCATGGCCTTAGGAATATAACCGCAGTCACCAGCGCGATAGTCGAAAGTCCGAGCATTTCCTTCTGCAGCAAAGACTGAGATGCGAGCCTTTCCGGCGAGGAAGAAGTTCCACTCATCGCTCGTCGTATGCCAGTGGATCTCCCGTATAGCTCCTGGCTTGACCGTGACCAGTGCAGCGGAGAATTTGGTTGCAATGGGGAAATTTGTGGGGTCGATAATTTTCACACTCCCCCCTGCTACTTCCATAGGCTTTTGCTCGGAGAAATGATAAGAAAAAGACGACGCTTTTGGAATTATACCAGCTGTGACTGTGACGTTCTGTTTGGTGATGTCGGTCGGGGCTGGAGTTCCAGGGAAAATGAAAAGCTCATTCGGAGGGATATTGTCGAAAGCTGAAACATTCAGGTTCAAGTTCTTGGAAAGTACTTCTTTCTATGCAAACATCAACTGTGGAAACAATAGAGCATTTCATCTGGCACACTGCTTACCGGATTATGGGCGAATACTTCTGATGCGAGGAATGTGTTATCTTCAGAGAAACTTCCATCGTCGAAAACGAGAAGAAATTCGCAGCCGCCACTAAGCCCTTGTAAGGAGTGCGGAATTCCACTTTAATCGTGTCAGCATTTTTAGGATCCACCAATCTAGCCGCTGGCATGCTACTTACGCGGGAAAGAACCAAACATCCCCTTTACTGAGGTCATCGACGAAAGTGCGCCCGTTTTCATCAATGGCTTGGATTCGGACCGTCCCGTTGAGAATAAGTGCCCACTCAGCAGCTTTATGCCAGTGCAACTCTCTGTACGCTCCAGGCTCCAGTCTCATGTCTACTCCAGCCATTGCAGTCGCAGCCGGGAGAACCCCAACATTTTGCTGACGGGACCACCCAGCGCCACTTTGACCTAGTCTGCATCTGTTAGAAACTCTGCGGCGTTGTCAAGATATGAGCAGAAGCATACTTAGCGTGACTAAGACCTGTGTTATAGTTAGAACTTGCATCCATGCCACTGAAAGTGGAAACATACCCATGGGCCACTGCGCGTTCGCGACGTCACCATGATCCGTTCCCTACTATTATCAATATAGTATTTCAAGGAAAGGCAAATAGTACGCACTGGCGGTGCTAGCTTATCACTGTTAATCCTGTCATATTCACTCGCACCTAAATGCTTCAAGTCAGCAACGTGCCTTCCAGTGGCGATTTGTTTAAAGGGGGACATTTGGGTGTATTTACGAGGTCCTGGGCCAGTTCCACCCTTTGTACCCCGAATTGGTTGGGGATTTGCAATGTTTTCAAAGTCCAAATATGCACCAATATTCGCGTCAGAAGTTTGTCCTGGAGCAAGACTATACTGGATGTTGTTGGTGTTCTCGTTGACAAGTGTGTTTGAAGGGCTATATCCGAGCAATGGGCTCAGAGAGCTTGCAGTGGCAACTGGTGCTGCGAATCCTGTCCCGACGTGCGAGGTGAAAGCCAAGATTGACAGGGCCAAACTGATCGAGTGCGAGTTGGCCATTGCGATTTGTGCATTTAATTTGTTTTGATGCTGAAGCGATGGAAATATCAAGTTGGTATTGAGGTAAGCTTGAGATCTAGAACGATGAGGATGCCTTTTCGCTGTGATGAAGGAGCATTTATAGATATATCTCGAGATTTGGATAGCTTCTTGAAATAGACTTTTAGATAAAGTTGACACCTCTACTATCAGGTAAAGAAGAAGTTGCTTTATTTAGCACGTTCATGGTGCTTGGTTTACTCTCCTCGGCCTCCTCACGTCTATTTCAGGACTTTGAGGGCATTCTAGGACATGTTTAAACCAGCCTTCCCAGCCCGGGTGACTATCAGGAGCAGAAGGAGACTCATCCTAGAATTTCACAATCGCACTAGATGCTCTCGGAGCTAAGTCGGCATCCCAAGGCCCGATCGCAAAGGTTGGTGTTATTATTAGAATGAGGATGGATGATGGAATTGGGATCATTGCGTCTCAAAACCAAACTAGAATGAACGGAAATAAGAAAAGAAAGAGTGGATCTCCCAGTCGACCTAATTATGGAATACTATATTTGGTTCTAGGTAATTCAGACTAAGGACAAAATGGTAGAAAAGGAGTGCAGGCTTTAGTGGGTTGATTCAACTGGTGGGGCCTTGAATGTTGAGCGCCGTAGCCTACCGTTACGACGACCCCGCTCTGAACCTCCTGCGTTGATTCCGTTGTATCAAGATACGCTTTGTGACCGGACTGGATTTGTATTTGGTGTCCAAACATTGTGGAATGATGCTGTCATTCTACAGGGATCAAGTGACTAGAATGAGCAGCTGTTCAGTCTCGACGTTTCTTAAATCCAAGCCAGACGGAGAAGTTTCCTTACCAAGAAGGTCTGTGACTCTAGAGATACCATGTTATGCAAAGAAATAGGCATGACCAATGCTGCACGCGTACCCTTTCAACCAGAACCTCGTGCTCAATGCGATATATGCCCATGTAGGGAAACTAGAAGCGTCAGCTAGGCCAAATCCAGATGCTCCCGGTTCAGTGATGACTCTTGAATCCTGGTACAGCTGAGCGGTTGGGCTTGTGTCGATAATTGCAAGAGGTATTGTCATGGACAAGGCATGTGTTGATTCGGATAGCAGCTCTAGCTCTTGCACCAGGCTAACGCGGGGAAAATTAAAGCTGTGCCCTCTATCATCTGCCTTAAGGTGGGGATTCGCCTGTCATGATATGTTCATTTTGGTGTGGGTGTTAGACCTGACAGGACCAACGCTAGGCGCATATCTAAACTATAATTTATCTTATCTAAAAATAGATATCAATTGCTAGATTTGACCGGTCCGTTTGCAGCTGCAAAGAGTGATGCAGGTCAAGTTTGAAAAAGTGCCGGCGTCTGGCGGGGCAGAACAGCATGGCCGAGGAAGCCCACCAATAGAATGAAGCCGGATGACGGCGGGCCTAACGATGTCCTGGAGCTGCAACATGGTGTCTGAGAGACTATCGTCTGGTTTCAATACGTTTATGATGGACGTTACGGGAGACCTTGCCATTGGTTCCCCGTTATCTAGCTCATTCGCGGGATTAAGCTTAAACTTGCCCTTGAAATAAATACCCCTGTTGCTGACTTGCGGTGGACTTGGCCGCCTGATGTTGAAACAAGTTTCTTTGAATCCTTATCGGCTCAGGCTTCCACAACCCAGAAAGCCATCACTTACCATCGGGTAGACCCCGAGGTTATGCTAGTGCAAGCACTTGCTTGCTCAGCTGTAGATTACACATTAGATAATGGGGAAATTCCTCCTCTTGAATTCGGCTCTCTGATGTTCTTCTTCTACCACACTACGCTCGATGCAACAGCTCGGTTATAAATTTTCATTTGCGTGAATACAGAAATTGAAGAAATAGGCATGCTGGTCTTGCCTATTGATGCCGAGTGCTTGTCGATGTGACGGCGTGCAAATTATAATACCTTCAATATGAAGCTAGGAACATTAAGCCATGTCTCTGCACAAAAGCAAACAAGTAAAAAGACTGATTTAATACCTATCGAGATCGGAGCTACTTCCCCCTCCGCTAATTTTTCTTCGCTTGAAGCGCCGAGAAAGAAGATGCTGCAACTCTTCTGGAGAACCTGGTTGTTGTGAGGTAGTTGTGATCTTCCCGCTAGACTTCAGTCTGTGCGTGGAAATTTGTACAGGGTGGTGAAACTGCCGAGCAAGCATTCCCCTTGACCTCAACCTGGAAACGAAACAAGCCTTTTTGGAGGCTTGCGAGCCGGAATTTAGCGCCACGGAGAGCCTTGCAATAACATCATTAGATGGTACCATCATCGGCCATGTCACGCTGATAGCTCGGAATCTCCAGACGTCTTCAGAATTTCCAAGAGACGCAATGCCTCCTCAGGATATAAATACACATTTCGGTCAGGTTGCTACGATTTCTCTGATTGCACTGCACCTCAATTGGAACCCTTGGTGGATTCTTCTGAACTGGGCGAGCTTGACAATACGAAGAGAAGTTCTAAGACACCAAGATAGTCATGGCCGCCGCATTCTCCCTTGTAAGGACACTTTGAAATTCTGTTGGGTCATAAGAACTAAAGATAAAGAAATATAGCACTGGCATTCTGTTAAAGAAGCATCGTTGGAGAAAGAAGCCAAGAAAGCCACGAGGAACAGAAGAAGAGACGACGATGATGATGACGGCAGTGACGATAACGATGATTCAACCACAAGAACATCAAAGGTAAATCAACAACTCCGTCTTCTGTACTTTAGTCAATTTCCGAAGTTCTTTCTCTCTATTGAATTCGTTTTGCTGACTTTATCGTAGACACATGAGTGTGTCTCCTCAAGTAGCTTCCCGACTTACACCAATTCTCCTTCATGGTTAACGGCCTCTTCGGCGTCCAGCTCAACACTTGCCAAAGAAACACTCACCGCTACGGTAGAAATAACGACCACTGCTTTTGCTTGCACTGTTCATACTATTACTAGTACCTCACCGGATCTCTTCTTACTTCCTGCCTCAACAGGCCTTGCCTCAATTTCTGCGAACCCAGCCCCAACAATAGTCGGCAAGCGTCCAATCCAAACTGCAAAGACTTCCATAATGGTTCCAATATCAGCAACATGTAAGTCATCCCCCTGCTGTTGTCAGGTTTGACTAATAATAAAACTTGAAGTGATTATCTTGTTGTTGAGCCTCGTGGGCTACTTGGTGTTCCGCATCAGGAGATACCGCCAAGAACGGGAGAAGAGCAAGAAATTTAGTGCCAATGAAAGTAGAAGCAATCGACAGTCAAGCGTCTGCGAGCTTGATACCAACCCTGCCATTCACCAGAGAAGAACATGGTACGGTTGGCTTCGGGAAAGCTTTATTGCCCCAAAAGCGCCAGTGCAAATCCGCACTTCACATGTAAATCGGGTTCCTGACTACGACAGCTACTTCACATGGGCTCACCGAAGCAGTTCAGTCTATAGCGTTGCTACCATGTCTGATATATCTTCTGGGTACGGGACTTACGGATCCCAACACGCTCTTCCCACTGGAAGTCTTGGCATTCGTGTGGAGCCTACAAAGTCTTCGGTGGTGTACTAGAAGCACTTCCGTGGCAAAGCAGGAGTTGCGTTGACCAAATTTAGAGGCGTTATTCTGGGGTAAGGGAATGAGAAATGGAATGGCTAGCAATTCATATTGAAGTACGATTTCATATCCCTATGGGGGTTCGTTTGTTTGCACAAGTCTTTGCTCGTAGCAAATTTCAAAGAGCTCCAATCATTTTCCTTCCCCCAATCGTGACCTACCCCAACTATGATCCATTACAAAATACCCATGGGCTCAGGATTAATTTTCCATTTCGCTGGTTCCGTTTTAGCCTCCGGACGTGAGTAACTACTACTTTAACCTGAGCCGAGGGTGAGCCGAGGGTAATAAACGCCCGAGCAAGAGTAGTAAGCTTACTAACTCCATGGGACTTAAAAAAGAGAAAATTAATTCACGATACCCTATAATTATAGGGGGTGACTACTAAAGAACAGTAGGCCTTGAGATTTAAGATTACCAGAGATTACTTTAAAACAATCCGTAACTGCAATAGTTATTGAGTTTTTATATTTGCGAAATACTTCTAAATTATGCGATACTAGCTTTGAATATTGAGTATTAAATAGTAGTAATGGTTGTCGGCAGTTGCTAGCAATCAAAGACGTGCGTCCGTACGAAATAGGCCCTTAGAGAACGCTCCGAAAAAACTGAGATTAGTATGGGAGCAAATACTAGTATCTGAACGCTAGTATTCGTTGCCAGTATACAAAAAAAATGCGAAATACTTTTAATTATAATATCTGAATACTAGTATTACGAAATCGGCAATATTCGAATATTCAGTGGTTGCGAAATAGGGCCTTAGTCGGCGGATTGGGCGAGAATTGCTATAATCACTCAATTTCCGAATCGCGAAATATAAGCACCTCCACAATTCAGAGGCAGTCTTCTTACCACTATATCGAAGAAGACTTGGCCATAAAAGTTAGCTTATTAGTAAGGGTAACCGTTTTTGCAGCAATAGGAGACTCCGAGAAGTCCGTGAGGCACGGTACTGCTCGTTATTAACGAAGGCCAACGAACATCCGTACTTATCCTAAGGCCTCGCCTCGACCAGGGAGGGCAGCAAAGGTGTATTCTCTCGCACGGCCTTTGTTCCTTACCTAGAGTAGCATTGCATTCTCTTCTATTATCTATTTAATACGCAATTTCTTAGGCTATAACGTTCCTCTAAGTAGGCGCGATTTCTCTATATAATAATCGCGAAGATATATATTTTAGATAACATTCGGAGACGAAGGTCCTGGATACAATTAACGCAGCACTCCGTTTTAATACCACACATGCCAAGATCTTGCTACAAATCTCCAAGCCCTCTCGAGCACCGACTAACAGATCCTCAGACTTTACAGCCCCTTAGAGCGACCCTACCCACGTTTATGCCTCTTGTTGTAATACGGCGAAACGAGGCGAGCAGATACGCAAGGCCACCATGGTTCGAGACAATAAGACTCGGCATGCGCTTGTATCAAGCACGGCTCGGCAAGAACCCTCGTCCCGTTCCGCGACAAGGCTTGTGATGTAAAGCGACATGATTGGTCGGTTGATCGGCGTGAGGAAGGTAGCAAGTTATCGCTCGCTACTTTATATAGCCAGCCATTTCGAGAGGTCGATACCCGTAGTTGGGCGTGCCGAGTTTTTCCTCCAAGTGATGCTGCCTTAAGCCTATAGCAATTTCTGGCTATTAGGTTGCACTTTCTATCTTTGCCCGATCAGGGAATAACTCACACCCTGGCACTCTCCGCCACAAGCGGCAGCGAGGGGAGAAAGCGCAAGTGCGAGGACCGCCGATGGTGACAAGATCTACGAACTATTTCAGACCCACAATAATGATAGACCTTCCATCCAGGAGCACAAAGGGGTAGCTGACTTGACAGAGAGCTACTGGGTCCGGGGCATCGGGACCGATGAAATTATTAATGGATTGGAAACGACTTCTTTTCAAATTTAATTTAACATTTGAAATTTGAGGCTTCGCATTTATCATTGCATTTGGGAAGTCAACCTACTCAAATGAAATAAGGTCGTCTATCTCTGTCTCCCTATCAAAGGTATCCAATCCTTGATGCCCACCACTTCCGTATTCGCTCCTCATTCTACTCGTCAGCTTCCCACTGTCCCCCAAAAGCTCCAAAATACCCATAACTAGCTCAGCTGTCCTCCTCGTCTCTGGATGATTCGATCTATAAACCTTTTTCCTACACTCCAGGGCCAGCTGTTCGAACTTCAAGGCTTTCTTCAAATTCGATTTCTTCCCTTTCCCCTCCATCTCACTTGCCCTCAACCTCCAGATTTCTCCCAAACCTTCCCAGCATAGTGCGATCAGAATCTCCCCCTCTTTTCCTTTCTGCGACTTCCCCATTTTGAGGGCCTGGTCATACATACCTTCCGCTTCAGAAAGGGAACCAGAATAACGCAGCACACTAGCGATGCCCTCCTTACACTTCGCTACCTCAAGCTCTTGCTTCGGATTCATTTGTTCAAATCCACTCATCGCTTCCCCAAATTTCCCCTTCGCTTCCCTTAATCTCCCAACTTCAGCTAGACTCTGAGCGAGATGAAAAGTGGAAATAAAAGTAAAAACATGACTCTCCCCAACCATCTCTCTACAATACCCCACAGCCTTCTTATACACCTCCATCGCCGGCTCGAATTTCCGTTGCACTTGCAGCGACAACCCTATACTGAAATATGACTTTAAAGTTTCCGCGTGTTTGGACCCAAGATGGATACAATATCGTTGGTAGCAGTCTTTAGCCGTTTCCTCGGATTCGATGTACTTTCCCACCGCTCGCTGCACGTAGGAAAGTCGGTAGAGAACTTTCAATGCATCAACAGAATTCTCTTCGTTGCGTCTCTTAAAGGTTTTCAGGAGATTCAAATTGAGTTCTTCTGCTTTACCGAATTCTCCGATTCGAGTATAGATTGAACCAAGACGAGCTATGCTCAAAAGCAGGTCCTGATTATCGGGATCCGAGACACTATAAAGGGATTTGAAACCATTAAAGGATTTCAGAGCAGCGGCAAGAGAAGGAGCGAACAAACTTTGGTCTTGAAACGTGGAAGATATGAGACGGTATGAACATAGTGTCGAAGGGTGCTTAGGGCCGTGTAGAGATTTCAGGAGGTGTTTCAGAGACTGAGCTTCTTTGCCTGCGGCGTCAAAGTCACCAAGACACCGTAAAATATGGATCATTTGTTCTTGGGCTTCTAAAGTTGAAGCATCGGAAAGACCGAGATTCTCCTTGCGAACAGTATAGGCGGCGGATGTCCAGCGGCGTGCTTCAGACCACTGACCTATGATGTGATAGTAACGACCAATTTTGTATTGTAGTATTGCGAGTGTAAGGTCGTTTGTTTGGTTGAAATGGGGGCTCTGGAGAACTTTCAGACAATGTGGAAGATAGAGCGCACATTTGCTTTGCAAAGACCGAGTTGAAGCATCAGGGAAGTGGTTTGCAAGAGCTGATAGCGCTTTTACAGTCCATTTCTCGATGGTCCCGGATTCACGGAGCCAGTGTTGAGTGGTGGCTTGGACTAAACGGTGTACATTCAAAGTCTCCACTTTGCTGCACACAGAGATCAGCGAGTAGTCTTTGAGATCTCCAACTGCCTCTATAAGATTAAGTGTATCGCCGAAAATATCCCCAAGAATGGATAATGGAATTCTATCTTGTTCGAGAAAAGAAATGATTGCAAGTAGGTCAGCAGCGAGTTCTCTTTCGGATCGTATCATCTTGAAGGAGATAGTCCAGGTAGTGTACACCGCATTAGAACTGCTCGCCTGAGGACGAGTCATAAGATCGGCTAGCACCGTGTTGTCTCGAATCTTCTCTACATATTTTGTGACGGTGACATAGTTCCTGTTCATAAAGCTTGTTGCTTGAGCTATCGCAAGTGGAAGGAAATGAAGCGAGGTGACCAACTCCGTGGCCATTAAGGTATCATCAAGGAGTACACTGTTATCTAAACCGTTTTGGAGCATTTGAAGTGCATCGCTGGAAGATAGAGGGGAGACTTGGAGGGCCGCTCCGCGTGTTGCGTACATTGCCGCAGCGGGGTGCGTCTTAGTCGTGAAAAGTACCTGTCCGTGACTGCATCGAGGAATAAAGTCCATGAAAGTCCGACTTTCGAGTGATGATTGCCTCTGTCTATCATGATCTGAATTTTCGCATTGTTTGAAGATAGCGGGGTCATCTGCACCGTCAATGATCATAATCCACCTGCCATGCTTCTTCTCCTCTAGCCAATCTCTCATCATCTTAAATCTTTCCCCCCCGTCCCGGACCAACAGTCCTATCTGGAGCTTCTGTGCAATCATTCTGAAACTTTCGGAAACACTATCGACAGTGCCACCGTGAATCCAAAAGACCGAGATTTGAGGATTGCGCTCAATTTGCCAATATGCCAGACGGGCCGCCAAATTTGATTTGCCTGCTCCACCAAGTCCGTACAATGCGACGGTCCCACCGTCCTCTAAACTTGTTAACATAGACTGGAATAATTCATCCCTTGGAACAAGTTTCGTCTTGAGTTGTGGGATGTAAGGAAGCATGTGTATTGGCCATACAGGAAGAGGACGGCTGGGAAGACTGCTTTCTCCTTCAAAGTAGCTTTGAGGAGCGCTCATGGTTGTTCCCAGAAATGGAGACGGTGGGAAAAGGTATGAACCTTTGTCGCGAATTTCCTCGTTATTATTGGGGTATGAGCTGGTAGAGGCGGTACTCTGCCTGACCAGAGAGTCATGACTGAGGTTTCGTTCCTCATAACGAGGCGGTGGAAGAAATTGATCGGGATCTGGGGAAGGAGAAGTAGGTAAGGGAGCTGTTGCGATGATAACCTGCGACTGAAGCTCTGCCGCCCAGGAGATCAAGTCGACCATATTTTCAGATACTATTTCATAAAGGTCGTCTTCCTGGGCGTATTTACAGATCGTCCTATGAGTTGCTTCCATGAAGACTTGGATTTCCGCAGGCTCAGACCAATTCAGTGAAGCGGAATTTCGATCGACGACAATTCCTAGAAACGGTTTCGCCATTGGCTTGGTTTCGATGAAGTTGAGGACACGTAATCCCCGAGCACGACGAGCGAAGTCCCTGTTGATATGACTCGCTATGTTCAAGTCCCTCCTAAGAGCTTCCATGATGTCGTTCCTGGCATTGCCTGTCACAGCTCTGCATATCCTAACAAGAACATCTCCAAATGTGACTCCGTTCCCACCATTATGCGGAGTAGCAAAGAATGCAACACCCTTCGTCGAATCGTATATATTGCGGTAATAATCAGTCGTGTGGGCGCTGACAATGGCTCGTTTGACCACAATACCTCCTAAACTGTGGCATACAAAGACGATTGGTCTCATAGGGCAATCCTTTCGTACGAGAGACAGTTGATTGATAAGACTCTCCGCTGCTCCATAGACACCTGCTGTAGATGCTCCAAATACAGCACTGGAGTTGTATCCGAAGACAAGGACACGGAGGGGCTTCACTCGATGATGGTGGGGTAGGAAGTCTTTCAGCCAAGTGACACCATCCTGAGACCACGTCGAGAGTCCATGTTCTTCGTTGTTTAGGGGATCGAGCCCATGAACCGCAATTATACTATTGCGCCAGGAATAATTAGTAAAGGTGATCGTCTCGTATGTCACTCAAAACCAAAGGCACCCAAGGAATGATACGTACTCGATCTCTGGATCGTTGCCGGGTTTCGAGTCAGCTTCCCCTCTAGGCTCCGAGCTAGGATATATCTGCCTGAGGTAGCTTTTAGACCCTTGGTGGGAATCGCGTAAAGCGCTCTCAGATCTTGTCATTGCGTTCCTGTCCTAGCTGCATTGGCATTCGCGTTGTTTGCAGAAAAATGCTCAATGGCAAAATGTAAAGTGAAGCAACCGGAAAGAAAGGCAATTTTAAGGCAGCAGTATAATGATCATAGGTCCTTTCCACATGTAAACCTTAAAATAGAAGAGGGTTTGGGGACGATTCTGGGGTAATACAGAATTTGACAAATCAACGCCTTTCGGGGACCTCGGGAGCCAAGAATCTGACCTCAGCGGACCTAGGGTATTGGGTCCACCGAGTGCAGATCTTCAAGGAACAAGGCCGAATGACGCACAGCGAGGGTATGATTGGGTGTTTGAAAAGCATCAGAGATCGCAAAAGGTCTAGTCCTGTGGGTGAACGTCAGCTGAGGCTGCAGTACCTCGGAAATATGATGACCAACATCATAGCCTTGCAAGCACTCGCACTCACCCGCACCATTAAGGCTGCAGTCTTGTGGTGCTTAATAACACAGGTGAGAGGCTGGAGTGCGCTGTCGAGCCTTGACAAAAGCAAAACGAAGACAGGACAAAATGTAGCCGGCGTTGGTGCTTGCAGACAGTTATCGACATCACATCCAGCAAAATGTAAAATGGCACCCTGGGGGCCGGTCGATTGGGGTGTTGATTGGGGGTCACTAACTGAAAGTAGAGGCACTTAGACAGGAACACTAAAAATCTCGCTTTCTCTTTAAATTCAATTTACTTCATGAGTAATTAATAGAATTTAATACTTTCTTTATTATCTTATGGATATAATTAAGGGCTATTCAAATATAATTTTCGATAAAAATTTAAATTAATAATAATTCTCTAAATTAAAGAAATTAAGAAGTAAATAAAGGTAAGTTTAAAAAAGCTTATAAATTTAGTAAACAAGTCCCTAAAACTAAATATAAGAGCCCTATAAGCCCCTAATTTATTGGGTTCTAGAGGGCTTTAAAACTGGAACTTAATTAATTAGTATATAAATTTTTTATTATAAATTAAGAAATATAAGATTATATTATAAGGCTTATTATATACTAGCTTATATTTATATTAAAAAATCTAATTTAAGGTCTCTAAATATCCTGGCTTCTAATTAATACCCTTCCGGATATCGTTTTATATCCTTCCCTGTTTTTTGGAATAATTACTTGAATATATCTCGAGAATTACTCTTCTAGGTAATTGAGATATAATAGCCGGAAATCCGAAATTACTATAATTAAATATTATTTTCGTATTTTTTAGAAAGAAAGTTATATATCCGGATAGTTATAACTAATAAAAGCTTTATAGTTTACCTTAAACCAAGGCTATAGAGGTATTTTCTAGCTACTATATTTAAGAGTCCCTATAGTCTATATTCTAATATTGCTCTGCCTTTATATAATTATTAGAGAATATAAGATATCTTAATTAATATAGGTTTAGGTATACCGACCCTATAGCTAGTAATATACTAGCCTTTATAGTATTTAGTATATATAGAGAAAGTAAAAGTATAATATATATCTGGTATTTTCTCTTTTTAGCCTATAGGACTTTATATAATATCCCAAAACTACTTATCTGTCCGTTATATATACTATAATAAAAGTTAAAACTAGGAAAAGTAATAAAAAGATAACTACTCTCGATTTTTTCTGGATATCTATATAGTTGCTAGTACTATAGGTAATAGCTATTAATTAAGCTATAAAGAATTGCTATTTTATTGAACCTTGAGCTTTCTTTTTTACCTAGTAAATATATATGTTAACTATAAGGGAGAGTATTATTATTGATTCGAATTCGGAGTAGCGGTAAAGAAGTCGGCGGCGAGGGGGGAAGTATTCGATATTATATAGTAGTAGTATAGAGTTCCTCTATCTCTAAAGAGGTCCGCAGACCTCTATTAGTGGCCACGTACTCCTGTAAGCTCTCCTCAGATCGTTCCCAGGTACCCAGAGTGATTCTCTATACCTTTTCCTCCAAGGAGGACTCCCGAAGGGCTACCTCCAGTAACCACCCGCTTAATCTCGGCTTGGCAGACTCTCCTCTGTCCCCTGGAGGCAGTATAATACCAGGGACGCAGGGTATGAGCTGCGGGTTCGTAGGGGACACCACGAACAGGTGTTGGGCAAGTCCCCCGAAATCCGAGATTAAGACTCGTCTAGTTATAGACGTCTACTTGGGCGGGTTTTACCTGAAGTCCGGGCAGCCTCGCTAAAAACAGTGTGTCAAAGAACTACTCATGCTCCTCATACTACTCATGAATATTCATGAGTAGCGTGAGTAGAATATGAGTAGCGTAATTTCCTAAAAATTTGAGTAGAGTAGAGTATATACTCATGAGTAGTATGAGTAGTAATGAGTAGCCGTTACGTAACAATAATAAACTAAGGGTTATTTAATAATAATTAAACAATAAAGATTTTATTAAGTAGCCCCAGTAAAGGTAAGCTAGGGCTTGTATAAGACTAGCTAAATATTAATTTTCTATAATAATAAACTAGTTATGCTTCTTAGAATCTTGATTTCCCCCTGACCTTTGGCTCGCTTACTAAGCAATGCCATTGCCTAATTGGGTAGAAACTTGGCGCTAGAGCGGTGCTAGATGGGAGGCTTACCTAATTAGGCTAGTCTGTCACGTGTAACTGTCACGTGGGTACCTACTCACACTACTCATACTACTCATGAGTAGCTTGAGTAGAGTATGAGTAGAGTATGAGTAGCGCTATAATTGGTTGAGTAGAGTATGAGTAGGACCCACTACTCTACTCTACTCTACTCATTTGATATACTGGCTAAAAACAGCAATGCCTCACCAAAATCAGGACAATTCTAGAAGGTAATTTATTTATTATAAAATAATGATACAAAGTAAGAGTCTTTAGAAAACTTTTAATTGATTTCCGAAACACTCTTTTTATCCTTATTACTAGTTAGGCCATTGCAAGTTCGTGTATTGGTTAATAGTAATATTTCGCGCTTTTCCCACCTAAAAGCAGCCTGCCCGGACCTCAGGTAAAACCCGCCCAAGTACAGAGAAGGATGTTTTTCAGGGGGCTTTTTCTTGTCCATTGAGAGGTGCTCAACCCTGTCTTAGAATTTGATCCTGGCACTACTTTTAACCTTAAATTTGTGCATCGCAGTCAATACAGGAGTCCCACCAATTGTTTTTTGCAAGAGTTCGATTCCTTCATCGATCGTGATTTCTCAACGCGTTTTTTCTTAGAGCTCATTAGTTCACTCCTATTAGTCCTAAACAGCTCATGGGCTGTTAAGACACGAGCCATTGCCATGGAAAGTACCTCAGCCGTTCTAGTCACGTGACCGTCGTGGAGGTGTTCCTCGGGTTCCAATGTCTAAAATTACGTAATCATTGCCTTGAAAAGTGCAGCTTGCTCTGCTCAATTCGACCAGCACCAGGACCTTGTGTGACATACCCCACTAATTATCGCAATACCGAGGCAATAGCACGACTCGTAGGGGCTCTCCTGGAATTTCTCTGACTCAGTTCATCTCTTCAGTCTGCATTTGAGTTTCTGAGACCTCGTGGATGCATTGAGGGGATGCATTGAGCTTATGTCTCATTGTATGTCTTCGAGAGTAGCGGCCTGGCCTTGCGGCTGGCCTCGCGAGCAGTGTGCGAAAAAATTAATCAGATTAATTGATTAATTTATGAATATTCATGAATAGCGTGAATAGAATTTGATTAACGTGATACTTATGTAATTTGATTAGATCAGAATAATTAATCATGAATATTCATGAATACCTTGATTAATATACACGTGACCACGTCAGGTAATAAACTGGCCTAATTAAGTAAGGTTCCTACTCAAGTACTGCCTTAGCGAGCTTTTCTCTCTAAGAGCAAGGTAGTACTAGAGCTAGATCCTTACCTAATTAGGTTAGCCTATCACGTGTAGTGGTCACGTGTACATTAATCAAGGTATTCATGAATATTCATGATTAGCTTAATTAATTCGTGAATAGAATATGATTAACGAGAAAATTACATGTATAGATTAGATTAATAGCTATTAACCTAATCTAATCTATTCATTTCTCACACTGCTCGCGAGAGGCAGTCTTAGCTCGGTTGGATGTCCCTGCGGAAGTCTAGCCTTGTGGCTTGGTGTATGTGAGAGACAGTCCTCGCCCGATCGGATCACCGTCTGCTGTCGAAGACATACGGAAGGCACTCCATTCGTTCGGCAGGACAATATCTCCGGGAAGACAGGCGGAGAACCCTTCTTCGGTTCTCCGTTGACAGCCGTCCTTGAAGTCACGCTTATCTTTTTCTTCGCACAATTTCCTAGATTGTCAAGCAGAGACATCGATGTGCAGCCAGAAGGTGGCGCAAACCAAGCGATCAAGGAGCTTGCAGAGCAAGGACCGCCCCCTTCGCGCCTTTTACGCCTTGTAGCGAACACGAAAGCTTTCCTGGAGAGTGACAGGTGAAAGCACAGTTCAGAACTGCGATCGCATTTTGTGGGTGTTGCATCGTCTTCATGGCAATAATTACAGACAACTTTACCAACCCGCACTTGAATGTGATCTGTATGGGTCCATGGGAATGCTACCGCGGATTTTAGCTCGTAACCCTGAGCTCTTTACTGTTCTACTTGACGAGCGTCTAGATCAGTTTGACTTTTGTCAAATGCTAATGCATAGGCGAGCGGGAACATGAGACCAATGTTGAAATTCCTCCCCAATTTCTCATCGTCCTCGCTAGTTCGAACGTCGCACTGGAAAATTCACGATCCCTTTCAATACACTTCTCTGCACGGCAGCTTCGCGAGTCTAGTGGCTCCAACGAAGTCCAAGCCATGGCTCACGTTTGAAGTGTTCATACAAGGTTATTCTAGGCGCCGCTTCACATGCCTTCCAACCTTCATCACTCTCTTTCCGTTTTCTTTACACTCATTAATCATGGTGCGATCTTTCGTGCTGTCCAGTCTTTCACTCTTGTTTCTGGCTTCCGACGTTTTCAGTAAACCTGTCGTCACAAAATCAATTGTCATTATTCCCTCATGCCCTGCAGCTAATGGCCTCAAATATGACACTCCAGCGGGCACCTACGTGGTGCAGTGCTCCGTATCCTCGGGTGGACAAAATATCCATACCGACCATGCGGTAGCCAATTTTCAAACATGCCTCGACCAGTGTGGCAGTACTCCCAAGTATGTTGCCGTAACCTACGAGACTTCTTCTCGAACATGTATTTTGAAGTCAACATTTGGAGCATCCACTCCGAATACGCGTGCAATCTCTGCTGGACTTCACAATGGCACTGTCGCTGTACCAGCACCAGTTGTGGTTCAAAGTTTGAGCGTCGGTTCGTCAAGTAAGTGCCACCAACAGTATGCCTCGGCTTCAATCTTAAGGCAGTTGACTACTACACCCCGATTTATCCGGGAGAGAATAGTTGTCTGCTGGTTTCCACACTCAGTAACCCGGTGCCAGCCGGAGATCGTTACGGGGGCTTCAGTGCAATCAGTCTGGCGAGCCTGCAGCTTGGTTTTGGCCCTGTGGTGTTAACTCGTGATGTTGGGAGAGGGGTTCCGCAAATCAATGCGAGAGTCCCGTACTGACTCGTCGCAGGCTCAACCACCTCATCCACATCATCTTCCATCTCCACAAGCACAGCATCAACAACCTCCTACACCTCGTCATCAGCGCCAACATCCACCTCTCTCGCAATCTCAAACTTCACCGGCACCTTTAACACAACAACCGCCACCGTAACCGACGCAACCGGCACCCTAGCCTTCAATGCCGCCTTAGATGGGAACCTCTTCATCTCCGTGCTCTCTAACCCCCACACCCCTCCCTAAACACGACCTTCACCCTCCTCTCCACCCCCACCTTCAGCTTCCTCAACTCCTGCCCAGGCTTGGCAAAAATTCCTTAATTTCCGGTATCGATAGGTATCGATGCCAGAATCGATTCCCCGAACCCAATTCCCTCCTTTGATTATAATTAACTTTAGAACCACTTTTCTTATAAGAAAACTTTTAGTAGCGCAAATACTCTACTTAATTTAGGCTTTCTATTTAGCTACTTATCTTATATTTTAGACTAAAACTCATCTCAATGCGGCTATTTTAAGTAAAAATAAGCTTTTGAGCTTTTGAGATTTTCGTGAGGCTCGCTTATATATTTAGCATCTTGATAATGAATACGAATACGGGGCTTAATTCTCCGAATACGAGGGCTATTTTAAATTTAAGATATTATTAACTTTTATTAATAATAGTAAGTATTTCTTTTAATAGAAAGCCTAGAAATTAAAGGAATTATACAATAATATATTATTATATAATTTAAATAATAAAAGAAAGAGTTAATTTTTGAGGTAAGAATCGATTCTGGTATCGATACTATCGATTCCTTGCGATACCTGAAAAATACCTCTACTATCAATACCAGTATCGATGCCTCAGGAATTTTTGCCAAGCCTGCTCCTGCCTCATATTCGACACCTCTGCCGTCTTCTCCATTACTTCCCGCTCGAAATGTCCTCTGTCGGCGCCTCGCGACTCTGATAAGTCTCGTGCCGTTCCCGGATAGGATGGCGAGGAGGTCCTGGTTGGCTTGGACACGTTGGGGAATTATTTCTGGTTGGTTGTGTGCGATGTGTTGAGGTATAGGAATAAGGTGTTCTTGGTGCAGGACCAGACATATGGGACGAGTGTGTTGCAGGACCCGGGTTTGAAGTTCACGGTGGCCGGGGGTGTGGTGGATGATTGTGAGGGGTTGGCGTTGGCGCTGGTTAAGGGGATGATGAGTGTGAGTTAGACATTGCCGAGGGATTTGGAGTTTGAGAAGGTTTGTTTGTGTTCCAAGGGGGTTTGGGTGGGTCGTTGGGCGTTCGTGGATCATGTAATAATTGGGAATGATAAATATATCATATATAATGCGAGCTTTTTAAGCGGATTGGTGATTCAGGGAGAGCCCAGACGGAGATGGTGACTGGGTACCAGTGGTTGGAGAGGATGTCTTAGGATCTGTGTTTGGGAAAAGGGGGGCGTGTGGGGGAAAGAGATCGTTCTGATTCGAGGAACACTGAGAAAGTATTGACTTTTCCAATATCATCGAAGATGTGCTACTTGCAATCCAACTATGTATCAGCATCAAATCCAACGCACGCATATACGCCATCCGTATTCCTCATCCATCCCCCATATCCATCACTATGTCCCATCTCTCAATCCGTATCCCCAGACCAGACCAACCAATCCCTCCACCCTCTAGTACCAACATATCATCCCCTCCCCAGCAATTATGCTCGGCATCCACCTATGGAATAGCCTCATAACTCCCACTCCCCGTATGTGCCTCGCGGTTCGAGAAAAGCCAGTAGACGATGAAGCCCAGAATCGGGAAGAGGAAGACGAAGACGCACCAGAGAAGCTTGTGCGAGGGAGGGCGGTTGGACTTGAGGACTTCCACTATGCATCACCACATTAGCACTTGTTCCTCAAACTTTGCCAAGACCCTGTTATACGGGGTAAAATGACTCGCGACTGGCAGGAATAATGGAGGTGGAGGGAGAGGGAGAGGGTCGTCAAAGAGAAGGGGAAATGGAAAGGGGGACGGAGAGACGTACTGAAGACCAGGATATCAAGGATCAAAACAATGAAACCGAGGACTCCTCCGCTGGTGCCGTATTTCCAGGTGTTGTCGTGGGTGGTGGCAGAGAGAGTTTCTTCGGCCACGGCGAAGGAGACCAGGAGGAGGTTGAGCAGGATTGAGGAGAACATTTTTGCTGTTGTTGAATTCGATTGAGTGCGTGGTGTTAGGTAGTGTTGTTGATGAGGTTGGTATAAATGGAAGTGGTGTGGTTGATAAGAGAAGGGAAGCTGGAGGCGGGGTGAACTTGGTGGCTGCCTAATTCGGTTGGCGTCATCCCTACGTCATTGGGCTTTTGGTACCGAGCTTGGCCTGGGGGCTCGCTTAACATCCTCCCCCCCCTTTTAGTTTCCCAGGGGGATAAATAGAAGGATTGGCTCAGATAGCAAAAACACACGTAGAGGCAAGATGAATCGGACACCCCCACGTCTAGAGGCCTGCGACACCCCGCACCTAACTTTCGAGCAGTCTCACATTGCAGATTCTGAATTAGCAAATTGCAAAGAAGTTGCCAGGCATCATCTCTTTCGACGAAGCGGTGGCCCTTTTCGCAAAGAAATTTGTCGACCAACCGCACTACACCCAAGTGGTGGTGAATCATTTGAAGAATTGGGATAGCCTCTCCAGTCACACAGCGTCGCCTTTCGTTTTGCCAGCTTCCAATCATCCGAAGACATCGACCCAGCTGTACTGCGTGGCGCACCGACACACAACCGCATTGAGGTACCCACCCCACAAGAACAAAGGGGATTCTCGCGCTTCCTTTGAATGACGAGACTCTGAGCCCCAACATTGACCTTTCTACTCTCGAAGCACTGAGTCACTGACAGTACAGTAGTCGTTACAGTCCATAAGATACACAGGGGTTGCAGTGGGTGCCACTGTTGAATGTGTGCTCCCAGTCGGGCAAAGATTTGAGCACCCCTTCGTGAATAAGTTACCCATGGTCAATCATGGCTAACCAGTGAGTTATATAGTTAATCACGGGGTTTCTAAGTCACGCGTAAAACTCTGACCCACTCAAGTGCTCTCTCCCACAATGCTAAATAACCTCGGTCTAAATCCCCAGCCCCGCATCTTACTGTACTCTTCCTTGAACACACCAGGTGTCTTCCTTGGACACCCATAGACATGCATTAATGGAATCTCTACTATCCCCCCCCTTGAATACTTATAGTGGGTCCTTTAGTAACGCCACCCTGAAACCTCGTTTATAACCCCCAACTAGGAAATATCAGGTGCTCTCCAGAATCGCTATTGGCCATACACCCTTCAGTTGGTCAGTGCAGGAGTGGTGTTATCCCAGGACCCACTGTAAGTATTCAAGGGGGGGGATAGTATGAACAAGGCCAAGTCACAGGTTACTTCCATTATAATCCCAGACGACGATTTTGCTCACCAAAGTCCATTTCCGTTTTTGAACCTGAGCGGTCGCTGCTCTGACCCGAGCAGAACCCTAGTCCTGATCACGCTAATGAGTAATGAGTCAGCTGGATTCTGTTCAGGGGTCCTTTTTCGGTCCGTCGCGGATCGGCAATAGGTTCTATATTCGGGGGAGCAATTCTGGACCCCCAGGTCTATTTTGATATTCGGAGTACTACAATTACGAATGTATCGGTTTGGAAATTACACTTCGAAGTGCCTGCTTCTGAAGTTCAACACCTGCACATACTACAAAGTAGCATACGTGCCTTACTTTTACTTTAAGCTAAAGTAGTCCGAGTTGCAGTAATATTCTTCCGTTTCGCTCCTATCTCAGTTTAGTCGGCGTCGCTGCTCTGCCTAGGCGCTACTCACCTACGCCTCACCCTCTGCTCAAGCTGCTCATGCCCTACTCTCTTTTGCTCAGTCACGTCCTTACTCTCGCCTATAATAACCAATTATTCTTTAATATTTCTCGGGGTTGCTAGACAAATAAAATAGAAAACTGTCGTCTGAGATTACCGAGGCTCGGACGACTTTTTCTTTCACTAGTTCCGTTTTAGTCGCTGGACGTGAGAAACTGCCACTTTACTTGACTCGAGGATAAGTATGCCTGAGCACCCCTGAGCCAGCCTGGGCACGATCCTATGGAACCGATTTAGGCCACCTATGGGCCCCGACTTTAGTTTCCTGGCCGAGTTTTGCCCGGGAGACCATTCCTGCCTCCCTCCTACTCCTTTGCAAGGTTTTTAAAGGAGCTGGCTTTGGACCCCTCTTCTCAACAAGAATAGGTATTGAGGTGACTTTAGCATTGTAATTAATTAAATATTACTTATTTAATATTATTATATTCGAATAAAAAAACCCGGCATTTCCAAATCTATATAAGCGAGCCAATGGGAGGAAGTATAAGCGAGAGCATGTAAATATGTCAGGTCAGGAAATCTTTCCAAAGTTCCTCTTCTTCTCTTCTTAGCTTAGTATTCTCAGAATATACAATTTCTCTTGCAAGCAGTCTCCCGGAGCTCTCTTTGTAGGCTCGTGACACTACAGGACTCTTATCACGCAGGGATGTTCTGTAACATCAGACGTCAATAGCAAACCACGATTTCCTCCAACCTAGCTCGTTTCCCATGACCAATAAGAATATATTTCGCATCTATAATTTAGTAAACCTTACTCTGAGCCTAAATGTGGAGCAAGACTCTGTTCGGAATTTCTTCCTACGATCTGTCGCTCCTCAAAATGACACCACAATTGGGGTAGCTTGGAGAGTAATGGAAAGCGAATTCATAATTGACATAGTAGCAAATGGCGTCCATTTAAAGTAGCTGGTCTTTTCACGCGGGCCAGTCGACGAGAATAAATAATATGCCACAAATGCGACAATAGTGCTTCCTTTCGAGTTTCTTCAGCATCTTAGCCGAGGACTTTGTCGGTGAGCCCATGTCCAGACCTCTAATCGAGCCATGGAGTTTCTCATTAGTGATTCGACTGTGCATTTGGAGCCACGAAGTAAGCTGATTGGCAACTCCCAACGGCATTTTAACATGTTGCGCCGGCACCGCATATCCTGGTTCTGCCCACTGCGAAGGCGTTGAAGGTGACCCTCGAATGAAACTAGATGATAACCGCTGCCCGCCATCGCCGGGACATAAAATGTGCAAGTGGGTTCTCCGCTCGCCAGGGAACATTGAACAAAGCTAACTGAGCTCAGTCATAATTCAGTTGATTACCAATTGGGCCACGAAGGAATACTGCCCAGCCCTCCGAGCCTAGCCTAAACGAAGTTTATCGAGTCGAACAGGAACTTCCCTCAAGCAGATGAAAAGTACCTCGGACAAGCTTGAAGCCCCCAGAGTCTATTCTACACATTGATCGTATGAAGAGAGACTATTCGTCGTTGAAGTGCAGTACATAACAAGCTCTGACTCACATCAACTGAATGCTATTTTGATTTTCTCAGGATATATGGTGTAAGGGTCACCAAGATGAAGTGTTGAGTTGAAGGGTTTCAATTTCGAGCTATAAACATTCCGTCTTGCATACCTCTCTTGACTGTACATCCTCATTGCGAGACTAACAGCTCCGAACAATATGCCCTAACCAATAAGAACCCATTGGCAGGATCAAATAATTGCAGAGCTAACATTTGATTACTTGGGATCGATAACACGGAGATTGCCTCGATGATAGGATGGAGGTTGAGGATGCCGGTGTAGTCAAGTCATGCTGTCCTTCGTATTCGAATTGTTGCAACTGAACTGCCATCTATTAGTCCAGACCTCAAGGCGTATATCAAGGCATGGATCTTACCTAGTTATGTCCTGGCCCTTGCTCCCTTCTGTCCGTCCTTCTTTAATCATTCGATTTGTACTCTATCACCTTTAATTCTTGCTATTTGCTTTGATAGCATCGAATTTGTCAATTTGTGATTGTGCTGAGATGGTATGGGCTTCGATGCCTTCCTCCGTGGAGTTGTGGCGATGAATAATCTGAGAGGAAGTAGGGTCGTTGAGGTATGTGGTTACGCGCTCTTTTGACATCTCATTCTTGCCGATAGAGGCAGACTTCGAAGTAAATGTGGAGGTAGAGGGTGCATAGCTTTGCTTGGGGCTGGATGTAGCATCCTGTGTGGAACTAGAATACTTGATCAGCAATGCACAAGCATCATGAGGAGTTGATTAAAGTTGAACTTCGGGGGTAGAAGGGGATCAGAATGTACACTGTGACCCAGCCATTGACTTCACCTGTTGATAAGGTAACAGAAGCCATGATCGAAGGGAGAAAGAAATGTATTGATCTTTGTTGACTGAATGATGGGAGTGCCGAAGCGTACGAAAAGAAATTCGCAAATATTGAAATGAAAGAAGGTGGCCTTTTTGAAATCAAATCCAGGAGGGAGAAGGCTAATTTTATATGAATAACGCTTTGTCGAGGAATCAAAGAAAGCCAAGGGTCTACTGCTTAAACGCACTATCCCAAGCCCACCACTGTTCCCACGCCACTATTCTCCGCCATTCAAGGCAAAAGACCCTAATTAAGCCTATCGTCTAACACTGTTGGCTACCCTTGGAGCAACAGGAGTTACATTTCGACCAATGTCGTCCTCGAGAAGCCAGATCCTAGGACGGGAGCAACTGGTGCTCGCCCTTAGGGACAGAAAACCAATGGCGAGCAACCCAATCCTGGTTCATTCCATCCATACCCCTGCGATTCACCATCTCCGCGTGTCGGTGTGCGCATCTAAGAGCCCAAGCAACGGAACTGCCCACAACGTTGTAAATCGTCAATTAGGTACAGGGCCGCATGGATAATGGTGAAGGACAGGTTGGAGGTGCGGGGTCGGGGTCGGCTTTTCGAAACTGAGACTATTCTTGAAAGCCAGATCGGGCACACGAACTGGAAATGTCCATCGGAAGCCTCTCGAGAATCCTCGATCGAGCTTAGGCCTCAAAATACAAGTATCTCCCCCACGTTCGCTGTGCAGGTCCGGCAGGATTCGGTCGGGAAGTCACCATGCAGACGCACTGTTTCGTTGGGCTGATCAACGGCACGGAAGACGTCGCTTTGGCCCCGTCTCTCAGCCCCCGTCTCTGGGCCCCCGTCTCTGGGCCCCCGTGTCTGGGCCCTCGTCTCTCAGGCGCCGTATTTCAGCCCGCCGTCTCTGGGCCTTCATTTTAGAGCTAGACTAAGCTCTACTTTTAAGCCAGTCTCTGGATCTCTAAAGAAGTGGGATCCTTTACGAGATCCGAAATTTTGGCAGTCCAACAAGGTAGAAAACAGTAAACCGAAGCTATTCTTACGCTGTCAACGGCATCGTACAGGGACGTCAGGCAGCACGTCGCAAATGATCATAAACGTTGAAACATGTGTGTTAGTGCCAGTTTCGATGCTCTTGGGTCTTTGCACCAATTGGCCTAGATGGTTACAAAGATCTTCATACTCGGATGAAGAAGTTGTTGCACGGCTTTCCGATTGAAGGGTTAATATTCCCTGACTGTGGTAAGGAGCCTGCCGACAAAAGTCTGTGGTTTTAGCGTATTTCGCTAACAAAACAGCCCTGAAAGAATTTCAATAATTATAATTTATATCGCAATTTTGTAGACTAAGTTCTTAAAACTAAATATACCTTCTTCTACTTAATATTTTCGAGTTTGAGGTAGTATTGTTTAAAGTTATCTAATTATCGTGGAGTGAAGTTGATGACTTTGGTTTGGCGAGGCCTGAAAATATCGCTAAAACCACCAGTGGACATCCCACTCTACACAAAGTGTCGACCACAGATGTCTCAGCTCCGAAGCCAGCCGTCGGCGCTGCTCGCAATCGTGCACTGGCCTGTCGAATTCTCATTCTTCAAGTACACCATAAATGACCCGTCAAACTTCTGGCAAATAATACAGCCTACATTATCTACAGAACTTCTTTCATATTCAAAGCTACTTCCCATTAAATAGTTGCAAGTCTTCCGTCAACACGCTCAACTTATCCACAAATGGCTTTGACATCATCCAAAGGATTTCTCTGCGGGAATCTCCCAGGCATCTCCATGGCTCCAATGACAGAGTTGACCACAGAGCCAGCATTGGAGTTAATAAACAATCCCGGGCCCGTCAACTGTAACGATGACAAGAAACCGCTACCCACTTCACCGATCGGTTTCCCATGCCCGAAAGCTTCTCGCACAAACTCCTGCTCTACCATTGGCATCGATATGTTCATGCTGAAGCCTTGCGACACGATAATAACCGCATCGAACAAGACGGACGAGGTAGTAACGTAGGACTCGTTCGCCGGAACTCCGCTGGCTAGGACTCCTTGGTGAGAAGCGACGACTTCGAACAACGCCGTTTGCGAGCTGAGAGCCGAAGTCAAAGTCTTATATGTCGCCATAGGAATATCGTCGCTGGTGGTGAGTATTGCTACGACGAGCCCGGTCACTGGCAGCGATACGTTCGTGCTGAGTGGGTAAAGACTTGGGAAAGTCACATTCGGTACAACGGAAGATCCTGTGCCAATGGCTGGCATGGGAGCCCCAACTCCAAACGCAACGCGTCTCGCAAGACAGTTGTTGACTGGATTCAAGATGGTGGAGATGTATTTGGCGGTGACGTTCGGGTTCGACACATGGCCAAGCTCGAATCGGTATGCATCAACCGTATGCTGTTGCGCAAACTGGTCCATAGAAAACCAAAAACCCCGGGCTTGGGTAAATGGGTCATTGAAGGGTTGAAAACGCCCGACTTGGCCGGATATAGTCTCATTAACTACAGCGAGTGCTGCCTGAGGGGAGGCAGCCAGGACGCCGCCGATCCCGTCTGGAGAACTCGCCGATTCGCCCTCGAAGATCTTGGGTTGCATGTAACCATCACGGTAGTTGTTGTTAACTGGGCCAATTGGAGCGTTGACTGGGAGGAGGTAGCCATTCGGGGAGTTGTGGCGGTGGGTGGATGTGTCGTCGTATGACATGAGACGCCATTGGATGAGAGGATCGGGGACGAAGGAAACTCCATCAACAACGTTAGACGGTGCAAAGCTGACAGACTCGGTCTCGGCAAAGTAGTTCGAAGGATTCCTGTTAAGGACCACTTCCCCGAGCGTTACAGGAGCGTTCATTTCGAACGGAACGATCTGCGCGACCCTAGCGTCAGTTATGCGACCTCAAAATAACCCAAGTACGCTCAAGGGATCTCAGACCTGGGTGGCATCTAATAGATCAATGCCATTGTACATGTATTCACCATCGTCGGGGAACAATTGAACGGAGAATTCCCACTCAGGGTACAGTCCGGCCTCAATTGTGGTGAAAAGGTCGATTCTTTGAAAGTTGTTATTCTTTCCAGCAAGCTTAGTGGCTTCATCATAGACTAAAGCTCTATGCCCTAGCTTAGGGAGCCAGTACCATTTGAACAGAGTTGATTTTCCTTGAGCGTTGATGAACCGGTACGTATGGACTCCATTGCCACTGATGTGGCGAGTGTCACTGATCCTGATTCAGCATCGCAGATAACATTCTCGGATTTTACTTACCGTGGAATCCCCATATCAGAGAGAACGGCCATCAGCTGCTCCGTATGCTCTGGGCGTTGGGTGAAGAAGTCATACGCATTAGTATGAGCACTGCCACCTATGACCAACCAATCAGCCTCGATTTAGACATCTCAAGTCCGGCGATACTCACCTGTGGGGAAACCCGTGTTGGGTTCTGCTTTTACAGCATGGACTAAGTCCGGGAAGAGAGCACCATCGTTGATAAAGAAACTAGGTACATGGTTTCCGACGAGATCATGGTTTCCGCACTTGCTGTATATCTTCGTAGCGAATCCATGTGTATCGCGTCCCGTGTCTGCTCCACCAACTCCAGCCACAACGACCGAGAAACGAGTGAAAACATCACTGGGGGTGTTTCCCTGCAACCAGCATGCAGATGTGAGGTTGCTCCAATCTCCGGTTGGGGTGAAGGTGCCTGTTAAGAGTTAATCGCTAAGTTCACGCAATTTCTTTGGGGTTGGTTACCATAAGCTGCGTGTCCCAACGCATGTACTACTCTCTCAGGAGCACGTTCGCGGTCAAAGTGCAACAACTTCTTTCTAACGGTCGTGTCCTCCAACAAGACATATCCTCTTTTCCCCGCCCTCAATGATGTGGTTGTGTTGTCGAGTACTCCATTGTCGGCTGTTTCTGTCTGGCCCATGGTGTCTACCAAAGCAGATGCTTCTTGAGCTTGCTGTTTTCCATCACGTATAGTTAGCTCCTGGCTGGAAACTATGGGGAGGTCATTATACCTTTGGACTTGTTGCCTGGGCAAGTACCGCCATAGCAAAGGAGAGTAGGGAGATTTGGGGCTTCATTGCTGCAGACTACTTGATGGATCTTCTCTAGGTTATCCTAGATATTTCTGAAGCTGCGATGGGAAAGAATGGGAAATCGATGACCAGAGCTCCTTGGGAAGAGTTCCAGGTTTCTTATGAGTCTTTCTGTTTGCTTAGCTTGTGCTTTCCATCACTGCAACCGTACAGTAGTGCTTACATTATGTACAGGCTTTGATAATCAAGAGGTAGGTTCATTTCAAATTCCCAAAGCTTTGACAGAATCTGATTCCACATTCTCAGGAACGCCTTGTCGGTTGGTTTAGTAAGGTATATTTTCACGAGCTAATTAAACCTAACCACTAGAAATCGAGCTATTACAAGTTGATATCCTGTTAATCTCGCAATAATTGGTTATGTTTCCAAATATATCAAAGTTAAAGTGGTATCGCTGACCCGCCAGGTTTAAGTGTAGCTTAGAAAAAAACCCGTGTTCCCTAATAAGTGGTGGCTCGTCTGATTCCACATAACTCGCGGATTTGGAATCAACTCCCACTACGCCTAATCTCGTGTAAGCTGTCAGCTCTCAAGGGGCGCCCAGCCCCGAAGCCATTCCGCATTAGGTCTGATGCATGCTCATGTGACTATCGGTCACGTGCGAGCAACACCTGTTTTAGACTCCTAGGAATAATCATCACAACTTAACAAATATAATAGAATGCACGCCCTAAGCTGATATGTCACCTTATTAGTTAAGTAGGTACTGCTCAGGGACTACTCAAGTGCTCGGCGGAAGCTGAAATGTTGGAGGCTTCCCGGTGAAAATTGATCAAGAGAGAAACGCTCACGTTGCCTCGGTCTGCCTCGCCATGCACGTTTGATATTGAGCAAAAAAAGACGGGGCCCAAGAGTGGAAAATGGGTACGGAGATTCTTCACAGGTATACATGCTGATGCTGATGGTTTTCAGACGGCGACCAAAGATTGGACGGGTGAAGCAATTTTGTGAGATAGAATCTCCAACCTACACTCTCGATTACGAAGATCACGGCATAAAGTGACGGGACTACAGGGCATTTAGATTCGCTTGGGGCGCTCAGTGGACTATCCCCTCGTCTGGCAAGAAGTGGTCCGTACTAGCAGGGGGGCCTGGCTCAGGGCGAAAAGGCGTGCCTTTGCTTAGAAACTTATTAGTCATCTATCGCCTTTTCGCCCTGAGCCAGGCCCCCCTGCTAGTACGGACCACTTCTTGCCAGACGAGGGGATAGTCCACTGAGCGCCCCAAGCGAATCTAAATGCCCTGTAGTCCCGTCACTTTATGCCGTGATCTTCGTAAGCTGGCTTTATCGAAACCACAGAGCAAGAGCCGATTCAGTTTGAGCCTTTTACTATGGGCACGGGGATCTTATGATAGAAGATGACATCATGCTTATAGATTCACTTTCCCCATCTGTCCCAGCGCCGTCAGCAACACCAGTAAAGCTAGAATGAAGGAGGAAATACGTCCCTCACTTTTCTTGGCTGGACGACTCGTTATGCCGCGGGGTAATTAGATGCACCCCGCAAACGAGATTTTGATAGAGCTAAACTATCGAGGAGAGAGATATATATATGTAGCCGGCCTCTCATGCTGATGGGAATCACATTAAAACACAGAGGCTTTCTTCTCCCCACAGAAATCCCAACTTAGCGCCTCCGGGAACCAACCGTGACATGGACCGTCTTCTGGTCTTATACTACTGCAATCATTACCACATTTGCTGTTCCGAAAATAACTAGTGCCGATGCGTAAGTCCTACGTCCCACGTACTGGGTTGTGTAACATACAGAAGAGATGGACGCTCACAAAATCAGTGGCAACTTAGGAGCAAAACCGTTCCACATTTTCGGTCGTTGCATGTTCGTAACCGTAATATGGTCATACTTTTATCTCCCGGAACCAGCAAATCGCACCTTGGCTGAGATCGATGAGATGTATGCGTTGAGCTTCCAATGAGAAAATGGAGAGGTACGTCAGACAGCTTATTTCAGTATGGATGTTGATACTGACACAATCTTAGGATATCGAACAAGCAGTACCTCGGATGCTATTATGCAGCAGATGGAGAGCAAGATGGATACCGCTTAGGACTTGAGATCTTTTGGGCACATATTACGGTACTGTGCCGAAACGAGAATTGCTGAGCCTTTACCCTGTCTTGTTTCTCTGTGCTGCCTGGAAAAGGCGACGGAGAGACAACATCGTTGCGACCGGATATAGTTTCTATGCTAAATCGAGAAGTCAAAGATTGTCTAGGAATCATAATACTATAAGTGACTACTTTTTTTTTAAGCTCGCTAAGAGAAAGAAATACAAACAGGCTTAGCACCCTTCGAACCTCTACCCCGTATCGTAATCTACTTCTCCTAAAGGTCAGTCAAGGGCCTGGGAAGAAGTCAGTCCAATGGAGAAAGCCATAATATTTTCGCTCGCTTTGGACGCAGGGTAAGGGGGCCTTTCTTTGATAATCCACCGGGACCAGAAAGGAGGAAATCGCCCCCATATTACAACTATATCTGTCCTAAAAAGTGACAAAACATGGGCGAAGAATAAATGAAACCCGCCCAAATAATGACAGCAGGAAATTTCATCCCAGCTCTGCCCCTCTTCTCGAGAAAACTCACAAGGTTATCACCTCGACCCCTTACCCCCGTCTCTTCCGGCGCCTTGCTGGCTCCCAGCTTTGCATGATCTCACCCTCTTCCCAACCCTCACCCTCGCGCTCGGACTCCCTACCAACATAACCCACTCGCCCTCCGTTTTCGCACTTAGATATTGGATCTTGAGTTTTATCACGCCTGTATAACTCACTCATACCACCTTCCCCTCCCCCCTCTCTAGGATACAGAGCCGACATCCACACCAGATGGAGCTGGCCCTCACAACAAGCTAATGGTCCTTGCTCTCCTACGATCCTAAATTGGTCGTGATTGCTGGAATTATTGGGTCCTATTGGGCATGGGTTGTGTTTGTGAGAGCAGGAATGGGTTTTGGGTTCAAGGGGTTATTGAGAGGTTGGGGACTGTGGAGGGGGCAGGAGGGTTAACAGCGTGGATGGGCATTGTTTGGGGGGTGTTGGTGTTTGGTTGAATGGGTGAAAGGCCGAGTACAGGGTAGTGGGAATGAGGGGGAGAGGGAGAGGAAGCCCATTTGAAATCGCTTGTCACTGAGATAAGAGAATTTTCTACTAACTGCTCAACATGCCTCGATGGCACTGTCCGTACTTGGTCTGGAATAACTTGTAATCCCCCTATCCATACATCATCATTCAATCGTAATCGTGTCGATCTTCTTCTTCTTCTTGAAGAACTCCTCAAGCATAGAATGCGGTATCAGAAGGTTGCTCACAATCCTACTGCTCCTATTCCCCATTTCCCTGATCGCAGTCGGTGAAGGCGAGCCAGAAAATACAACCACTTTATCCCCAACGCCTAGATGCTGTTCGCCAACCCCGAAGTACCCATTCTCAGTGTAGAACAGTATCCGCCCGTTCGTAACCCCCATCATACAGTGACAAAATGTATCTGCACGTCGTTCACGTTTCAGTGATCGTTGCAACTGTTCGCTAGACGTGACATTGCCCCCACGACGAACGCCGCTCAAGAGAAATCGGAAAGCTTCGTCAAGTGCAGCATCGATATCCTCCTCAGGCATGCGTAGATCTTCTTCAGGCAAGGCGATGTTGTTCCCTAGGAAGGTCCAGCATGCATTCATATGAGCCTTCAATTTGAGTTCCTTGTCTTTCAAAATAGCTGGGCATTGAAGAAGGTCTTGATAGGTAGCGCGCATCCAATTGAGGACAGTATCTCTGTGAGCTTCAAAGTCTTCGATGGAAATATTTGGACGGAAGGAAGATTTCCATTTGATGGTATCAACCACCCTGCCCGACAGATGGATGCGGTGCCGACCAAGAATTTGGTCCATGAAGGGGAATGTACAGTTAACTTTCGTACCATTTGAAGCACAGCTTGGGGCTGGTGGGAGGGGCTTTAGGCCGCGAGTTTTGCTCCAGTCGGGGACCCAGGATGGCAATGACCGGTCGTTGGGATCATTTTCGCAGTATGGCAAGAACCAGAGCTCGCCGCCCTTGAGGTACTTTTTTGCGAGCTTGATGTATAGTTCTTGATAAGCAATGTTGTAGTCAACTTCAATCCCGAACTCTGCTCTATCTCTTGCCAGTAGCAAAAGTGGGTACACGTGGTCCCTGGGGTTCGTTGCTCCAAGAGCAGCCAGGAACGACTCTTGTAGTAGCCATTGCAAACTCTGCAAGCGTCCCGTTTGCGTGAACATCAGCCGGTTGTCAATCATCGTCCATGGTCGATGATCCAACATTTTCGCGGACCATCCCAGCTCCTTTACCTGCTGGTCCCACGTGCTCATAAAAGTGTCAAAGATATCACTCGCATCGCCATTAGCAGGTGCGATTTTATCGTCTCCACAGGCAAAGACCACCTCCTTCGCCATGACAAGCTCCTGCCACACCCACACTCGACCCCACCACTCTCGACTCAGCAGTTTGGCAACTTCGTCGATTGGGAAGCGTGGGATATCGATATTGGAGACCACCTGCTTCTGGAACATCCTGCCAAAAGACGCTGCGATGGCTTGATCGTTCAATGCTTGCTCGGATTGATCGACCTGTACACTACCCATATCTACATTCGATGTACCTTCTTGTACGTAACTACTGGCTCGTAAAGCAAAACGACGCATGGCAAGAAGGGTATTAATGGCAATGTTGCTGCCATCTGCAGGTGGGCCCAGCCAAACGATCACGCGGGAGGCTTGAGAATAGACGCGTTGCATTTGGGCGACTTGCCAGGCTTTCTCCGTGTTGTCTTCCTGGTTGATACAGACTGCATCAACCCACAGAATGAGTTCTTCGTCTAAGGGAGGACTGCACTTTGGCCGGAGATACCGTAGAGCAGCGTTTAGATTTGGTGTGATCTCTATCGATGCGTTGTTGCTGATGATGTGAAGAACCGTGGGAGCATGGGCCAAGGCAGGGTCATTGACTTTCCCGTTCCAGGTGTATGAAAGTGCGCTGAAGACTGGATGCTCGTGTAAAGAGGCGTAATCGATCCTGCATTGCAGGTCATCGGTCATCGATGAGCCAGGCCTGATGCGCAATAGCCTGATCTCATTCTTCGCCCTATCGAGTGGTCGAGAATAGCTGTATGGAGCCATGGCTGTCTGACTTCTCGCTGCTGATCTCTTGTCGCTCTGCAAACACGAATAGAGAGGAGGAAGAAAATGAGAAATGAATCGAGTACATGGAAGTTCAGCTCGCTTGCGAGTACGAACCGCATTCCCGGCTAAAAACATCGGAGCTGGCGATGAATAAGGGGTCAATTAAGCGAGGGGAATCTCAACACAATTAACATTTCTCATTAATAAAGTCTGGTTAAATGGAATAGCACTAGTATCTAATGCTTTCTGGCTCTAATTATGTGGCCTTCTCATTGTTATATAAGTAAAAAGTCCGACATTCTAAAGTGTTTTCGCCCGGAACGAGCTAGCTCCCTAATTGATACCTTACGATGCTACCCTGGTCCTCGTGAAAATATGTATACATATAAATGGGTCTGATATTAGAATCACAGTTGCAGATTAGACAGTGTGAGCTGGTTGGTGTATGCTGAGACCGTGACGTTGCGATTTTGCAGCTGAATTTCAGCCTCACTTCCGACGGACTCCCGCCCTTGACCAAAGTTCTGTAGAACAGTGGGGCAACGTTTTACGTAGTAGCCTTTTGTCTCATCTTCAAGAGTAAAGTAAATTAGCGAGTTCATGTGTGTTGTTACGCATCGAAATCTCAAAATTTTGGTTGCACATCCAATTCACATCAAGCTCAAGGTACCTGTAACAGCGATTCACACTTCAAAATTCAATTTCGAGAGGAGAGGGCTTTTTCATTGTACTAGAACTTTGGGACATTGAAGTGCACTCCCCCCACTCAAAATGGATGACCCCGATTCTCCCAAGACATTTAACTCAGATGGTACGAGCCAGACAAATCTCGCTCTGCCACCATGAATCACCAAGTTATAAACGTTTCTCTCCTGACCATCTTCCCCGGCGGATCTCTGAACATTTGATAGGTCATAAACTTCGCTGTCTTCTTGACCGAATCGACTTCTGCGCCAAATATGTCCGTCGCAAGATCATGAGGAACGTATTCTTCTTCGTCTCCTAAGTTCTCTTCTTCGATCTCAGCAATCCACTGCAGGTACTTCGCGACAAGCACGCCATCCCACAATCCCTCTCGTCTGGGGTAGGCAAACATCAGTCGAATTGCCTCTTGCCTTAGAGCCCGATGTCGGAACATTTTGGCAACGACCAGGAGAGGAACAAGGAAGTTCATCTCCACAGAAAAGCCGGTGTCATCGCAACCCTCTAAGAGTGCCTTGATCAAATCGACGAGCTCTGTCAGCCTAGCCGTTTGGCCGTACCAGGATTCCCATGGACTCAACATGCGAGTCATCAGAGCTAGATATGTGCTCATGTAGGTAACCCTTAAGATATTGGCGCGTCTCAACTCGTGAGGGTTGTTTGAAGCTCGAACATGGACTAGTAGAGGCTGGAAAGCGTTTGACCAAGCAGCGTACTCCTCGAATCTTCTTTCTCGTTCTGCACACCACTCTTCCGCCGAGGTGTATTCGTTGGGCGGCGGATCGTTTTGATGCATAAAAAGACAAGTGGTTTGTGGGGTTGCATACCATGGCCATTCGTGCTTGCAGGTGTTTTGCCAATGAAGTTGACGCATGGCTAAGACGTGAAATACAGAGCGAGCATGGCGTAAGCTAGCGAATTCTTGTGGGATCTTTTCTCGGATTGTTTGGCGACTCACAAGAAGCTCTCTTGCGGTCAAGGCCCTTCCATAGATATTATTAACAAGATTTTGTACCTCCAGTTCGCGGAAAGATTCCAGAAGTTCGTCATCAATAGCGGTAATACTATGGGTGTATATGTTTTGCTCGTTGATTTGCTCTTCAATGAGGGCGCTCATTGTTTCGATCTGGCCAACTGCACTCTTTTGATTATGGTGGTATATTTCGAAGGCGATGAAAACGAGGCAGGCAACGAGCCTTGTTCTCAAGCCGAGTGTCATCTGGGATATCGACTTCTTCATTTCGATAATGGCCAAGCTGTACTCGTGATATGCAAACTTGCGTCGCAAGCTCTCCTCCCAAGACTTCGTAGGGTTAGAGCTTCTCCACGTACAGGGATCCAAAGCTCCAAGCGCAATAACTGCGTGCCGAACCGAGGAGTTGCGCTCACAGACCTGTAGGACTAGACAATCCCATACGTTTGAGTCAAATAGCCCTGTCAGTTTTCTGGCAGTTTGAGTGGAGAAGAGTTTGAAGTATCTGTCTTCCTGGTCGTTCTTGAACATGGGCCGTTGCGGTGAACGGCACACGGAAGTAGAGGCGTGTTGTGTTTGAGGAACAATTGCTTGTCGATTCGCGAACACTTGCCCGTGGGAATACTTCGTCCTTCGCGGTAAGTCTTCGTCGTATCCATCACAACCGAGGCCAAACTTAACGCATCGCTGACAGCTGGGCCGGGCTTCGTCACACTTAACTCTTCGAATCCTTACATTTAGTTAGTGATGTCCGCAAGGTTCGAAGAAAACGTAAGCTCGATTTGGCTCTTACTTGCAAGTTCTGCAACCATTCTTGCTCTTGTTGTGAAATCGTTTCTTCTTGTCTGTTCTCGATGCCTCTGTCTTGCTAAGCAGATCACCCCCCCGGGTTTCGTCACTTCTGTTGATGTCAGCCCCCAATGTAGCGTTCACTGAAGTGGTATCCATTGTCTTTGACAGCCCGAAATGCCGAAGGTTAGAGCGGTTATTAGGGCGTTGAACTGAACTCTTGGCACCAGAATCGAAGCCTTTTCAGTTGGGGATGAAGCACGACGGGGATAAAAGTGATCGAGATCTCAGCTGACGAGCTCGGGGTTAAGTCCGGAGGCGGCAAGCTTCAACCGTCTCGCAGGGCTTAGGTGGACGGCCCAATCAGGTTGGGAAGAGCCCTGGCAATGCATCTCACTTGTGTTACCCAAGCCAACGAATTCAAAGGGGAAACAAACTTTCCTACCACCAGCTACTATCTACAAAATGCAACCTGTAACAAAGTAATGCATAGAGTATTAAAGTTATCTAACTCATCTACCTTGAATGTGCGATGAGTTGAGGGATTGTTTGATGGGACAAGACTTTGAATATACGATGTATTGACGTGGTTGGACTTCGGCGGCTCGAAAGGGAAAGGGAACATTAGGAGGGGACTTTTCAAAATTCCCAGCTTGGTTTGAGATATGGAGAATGCGTGTCGCCTTGTCGGTCTATCGGGAAGGCGGTAAAATGAAGAATACTTCGAACTTTCTTTCTACATCTTTTCTAGTTCAGAGGGGCGAGAGCACGTGATGTGAATTGAGCCTATTTTCCCGACGCGAATTGGAGCGCGTCCTTTTGAGCTGCAACAACAAAGCCACCTCAGACCAAACTTTGTTGAACTCCAATCTCCATGTACGTAGATTGGTCATGATACCTCGATAACATCTTCATTATAAGATCGATCCCTCACAGGTCTTCTCCCCGCAATCCCTAGCCTCGGCGGCAAACCATGGATATCTCCGATATTCTTCAAAGCCTTGGTTCACGCCCTGCTGAGCGTGATCCATTCGCCGAAGACCTCGGCGACCCATTCGCAGCAGATAGGGGGCAACAGTCAGGGCAGGCAGATTTACAAGCATTAACGAGAACTTGGGTCAATGAGCGCGGCGCCGCTGAACTTCTTCCGTAAAACCCCAGCACCTGTTGCCCACGAAGCCCCCAAGCACAATAGCTAACAGACTCCTCCAGCTGGCCCAGAGACGGCCTAATCGAACGCGCAACAAACCGCATAAAGCAACAAATCGAGCTCGTCGAACAGATGACCGGCGACATGGACCCCAAGACGAACTTCAGCCTCATCATCATCCAAACCGAAGTCGAACGCTGGAAATTCCTCATCCGTTCCTACCTGCGAGCCCGAATTGCCAAAATCCATAAACATACCTTACATTACCTCTCTACACCAGCGTTATTAGAACGATTGAGCGAGACGGAAGTGGCATACGCGACAAGACATCAGCAGTTATTACACAACCATTATTTGAGCAGTTTTCTTGGGAGTTTTCCCCAGAATCTGCAGAATTTGAATGATACGGCGGGGGGCATAAGCATGATAACTGGCCCCGATGAGGATGGGGGTGTGTTTGTCCGGGGATTGGGCTCAAGAGATATTGGTGGCGAGGGGACGATTACTGTTAGAGGTAGAGGGAGAGACGGCGATGGGGAGGTTGAGGTTGAGAGAGGAGAAGTGGTAGTGGCTCGATGGTCGGACGTGAGGGACTTGGTTGAGAAAGGGGAGATGGAGCTGGTTTGACAGGATCGTTATAATGTGAAGGCCCCAAGTTCTGGACAACAGCAGCCCATTTAATCGCATCGGAAACAGACTGTGTTGCGATACCTCAATCAACCGACACATATCCCTACCATGTTGGCTAAACCCGCCTGATTCCCAGGTGGCGGTGGCTGAACTTGTTCCCACGCAGCGCCTCACCCCTCTCACCCCGCAATTACAATGCCAGCATAAGCATCCCTGGCCCCTTCATTTGTGTTGGAAAAGAATCGATTGGGCAGTTGCTACGAGATTCGCGACACGAGGCAGGATGCCGGACATATCGCTCTATCTCCACAGATCCAGGCACAGCACGCTTGCACATCGACACGCTTTTATAGAGAGGTGTATAAAGGCAGCCAAACCAACAGTTTGTTTGTGGTCTCTTGCCAAGACTGCTAGGATTTTTCATATCCCTCAAGTCCCAAGATGTCCGAAGAATCCTCCACTCCAACTCTTGCCCTCGTCACAGGCGCAAATAAAGGAATCGGTCTAGAAATGTCTCGTCAACTTGCTTCGCCACCATACAACTTTCATATCTTGATGGCGAGCCGCGATCCTGGTTGAGGCGAGGCAGCGACTTCCACACTCCGGAAAGAGGGTCACTCTGTCGAACACATAACCCTGGATGTCACCAACGATGATTCGATCACGGCAGCAGCAAACCTGGTCAACGGCAAGTACGGTCATATTGACGTTCTCGTCAACGATGCTGGTATTGCAGTCGAATGGCTGGGGGATCGAACTGCCCGGCAGGCGTGGAAGGATACTTTCGACACGAATGTCGTCGAAGTTGCTGCTGTTATTGATGCGTTCATTCCTTTGCTTAAGAAATCTAGTGATCCCGCACCAAGAATTGTTTTCGTGTCCAGCGACCTGGGAAGATTAGAGACGAAGTACGACCCGAATCACCAATACTTCAAGAGGCCTCTTCCGGTTTACAGCTCCAGCAAAGCTGCTATGGATATGTTGGCGCTGCATTATGCAAAGGATTTCCGAGCGGGGTGGGGAGCGGACGAGGACGGAAAAGGCGGAGGAGTGGAGTGGAAAATCAACGTGACGTTTCCCGCGCCAACCAAAACTGATTTCAACCGGAACAGAGGGCCTCAATCTGTGGAGATGGGGGCCAGAAACGCAGACCGCTTGGCTGTATTGGGGAAAAGATGGAGAGACTGGGGCAATGAGTGGGAACGAAGGTCCTCTGCCTAGGTAAATGTTCGAAGTTATGAACCTCAATCGGTGGTTAAATAGTGCCGAGCCTCAGATCATTTGTCCTACAAACTAAGACTGCGAGCCACGTTCGGCCTTAATTTCTCGGCACCTTCACAATCCTTGTTCTCGTACACAAGCCGACGTGTTCCTGTTATTCATCTCGGACTTCCACAAGAGGCTCGTCAGCTCCTCGTCCATGCCATGTCATTTGTCGCCCTCAGGGACCTGTTCGGGCAAGTGTCAAATAGAACATCACATGGGGTTGTAATCCAAAAAGGGCCATCTTTACGCAAGATTTTCATTATCTCCATCTGAGTGATCGAAATCCTGAAACCTAGCACCTTAACGCCGCTCTGATAGGTGGCTGTAAGCAGCCTGCATACACTAAGTCGGCAGCCATTTGATGACAAGCCCGGCAAACGCTGCGAGAGAGGGCAGCTAGGCGAAACTCAGACCCTGTCAAGCCCCCGTGCATGCCCGCGGCGTATATTTCGGGGACGCGGGATAAGGTTCGAGGCCGCCCCATCTTGTGCCAACTCCTCTTTACCGCGACCATGCCCTAGGAAATTTTGTTCCTCTCAACGACTTCAGACGTCGGATTATCATCATGCCTTCCTCAATCGCTCCTGAAGATGTCCCTGAGCCCGGCACTCCTCGCTCGCCCGTCTCCCCTCGGTCTCGCTCGAATACAGCAGCAAGCCAGTCTACAACTGGCGGCGTGCTGCGAAAGGCTGGGAAATCGTTCAGTCAATCGAGACCTCCTGTGGGCATGTTCCACGCCTTCGGAAATGTTGGCTCCAATATCCCCGCCTTGGATGATATCCAGTCCGGCAAATACGACTCAAATGGCTGGAGTGGACCAGGTCAACGGCGGAACAGCAAGGCGCGTCGCGATTCAGATGTCCAAGTCCTGAGCCTCTACCGTTCCCGAACCATGGACCCCACCCAAGCACCGAAGGTGGCCACCATCGACGAGAAGAGGGCCGCCGATGGAAGTGAAGGCATCCTCACCCCCCAAACCGAAGAGATCGTAGCCCTCACTCCCCACGATCCATCCGTCCCCTACGAAAATGGCTACCAATTCCCCCCAAAACACACCAGGAAGCAAGCCTTCACCATCGCCATGAAAGGGTCCTGGAAGTTCGTCACCACGCCGTTCGGTTTCCTCCTCACGCTGTATGCACTCAACATTGTAGCGTGGGGCGGCATGCTTTTCCTCATCCTCATCCACGCCACACCCGCCATGGCGCACCCATCCTACAGCAGCTGGGACTCAGGCGCAAAATTGTGGCTAGAGATCGATGCCCAGATCCTGAACGGACTGTTTTGCGTCACTGGTCTTGGCTTGATTCCCTGGCGCTTCAGAGACTTCTGGTACCTCCTCCAATGGCGGTATCGCAAGGATGAATCGGCTTTGAGGAAATTGGCTGGTATCCATCGTGGATGGTTCCGTCTTCAGGGGAGCGAGACTGTTGATGTGCATTACCATCCAGGACAAGACCCGATTCCGGAGGGTGTCAGTGAGTCTGTTCTCGCTTTACCCCTCGAGCTGTCTCCCGACCCTCCTTTGACTGGCGAGCGGGCATCGCCTACAAAGTACTGGCTGTTGGATTTTGTCATCTGGGGCTTTGTCTGGAATACGTTCTTGCAGATCGTGCTCTGTGGTCTGATGTGGGGGTTCGGAAGGAGGCGACGTTCTGGTGCGGCAGTCGGGTTGATGATTAGTCTGGCGTGTATCGTGGCTAGTGCTGCCGGATGGGTTATTTTCAAAGAGGGGAAGAGGGTTAAGAAAGTTGAGGGCGTCCCAGTTAGTGAGGAGGATATGAAGATCCTGAAGGAGATGAGGGAGAAGGAACGGGAGAGTGGTACTGCGAATTCAGTTTGACAGAAGAGAGGGGTTGGATTCCAGAGTGGGAGTCTGGAGCTAGAGATGCTGCCGAAGATCTTGAAGGTCTGTGAAAGGCATGTTTATGTGCGCATTGGCCGGGTGCGTGGAGTTTCGAGGCCACCAATACAAGGATGGCAAGGGTCAGATTGGGAGGATGGCCAATAGGGCGATGCCAGATCAAGGCGTTGAAGCCTCGAAAATGTTTTAATTCATTCTTGCACACAATTCACTGTATTTACAACTTGGTCTTTGTTGCTCTATCCTGTTAACCCTGGATTCTGAGCCCCTCGAGCTCGTTGCACATGGACTTGTCAACCGGATATTCCCACCGGTCCTCCCGGCTAACACCCAGCTCAAGTCAGCCTATCTCAATCTTCCTATTAGTAAATTCCATCCCCTCCAGAATTTCGGCACCTTGGCTTTCCTTGCACATCAATCGTTGAACAGGATTTCCCATCCGGGCCTTCCGGCTCTCCGCAACTTGGTTGAGTTTAGGCATCTTGACTGCCGCAGATCCCGGCTCAGCCTCAATCCAGCGATATCTCAGTGGATATGCAGCTCCCGTATCTGCGACGTGTATTACGGAGCTAAGTGCATAGGTGCCGTTAACTTGTAAGATCTTACGGGTTCACTGTCCAGACGCTCGTCTAAAGCCCGTCAGTGCCAGATTGCAGGGGTATCGAATACCTGTTTCGGTTTTGACGGGGTCATGGTGGCAATTGTCACCGGCCATCCTTCCCATTGGGTCTTGTAAGCAAAGGCGCTTGGTTGTTCTTTGCTGTGAACCTTAATTGTTCTTGCTGAGGTTTTATACGACTTAGGGTAGTGGGAGAGACTATGGAGTCACATGGTTGCGAGGCTCAAGCTGTTCGCAAAGGCTATATTCTTGTTTACTGAGGCCCACAGCTAGCTAGCGGACAAATCCGAGAAGCGAAAAGTGATTTTCTGATTTTCTGATTTTCGCACT